ATTTATTTATTTATTTATTTATTCTCTATCTTTACTAATATTTGATTTTTTTTATTTATAGATACATTAAATATTCTTAAAAATCATTTTTACACCTTAAAATTATTTTTATAATAAATATTTCAATAACTTATCTCTTTTTTTTACTATTGTCTCAAATACTATCTAAACTATAGTTAAATGATCGAAAATGATTATTACAAGACTATAACTTTTTGTAAAAAAAAATTTAAATTAATTAATTCATCAATAAATACATTATTTCTTTAACACTATTCGTTTGCAATTAAATCAATAATTTATAATTTTAATCAATTGTAAAATTTAGTTGCTAATTGTAATGAATAATTAGTTACAAATTATTCCAACATTAATCTTTTGAGATCAAATAAATAATTATCTATAAATGATAACTAATAATTTATAAAATTAATTTTTAGACTAAATTATCAGTTCAATTTCTTAAAAAAAACAAAATTCTTAATTGAGTTACTAAAATAATAATGCTAGGATTACTTAAAATCTTTTTTTACTAAATATGAATATTGACTTAATTTTGTCCCAAGTAATTTTGATGATTTGGTTTTGTTGTTAAAAAAGTACATTTTATTTTTTGAATTAAAATTTTAGAGTTAGTATTGATGAAAATTTATTAAATTTTTCTAAATATATCTTATATTATGAAATTATGAATATGTTTTTTAAAAATTTTCTCAAAACGTATTGATATAACAATCACATAAGTTTTGTATTTTAATTTTTTGTATCAAACGAACGTTAGAATATATTTTCAGCAGTTTTTTCATATAATTACCGAACGACGGAAAATATGTTATTGGAAAACAATTTTCAGGAAAATAGCTTCCTTAGGAATTGCTTTTCCTATGGAACTTATTTTCCCTCAAACAAACATAACCTAAATTTACATCATTGCATACGATGCTTATTGTTATGTTATGGAATTTTATATTTTAGTAGTCTTCAGTACTTCTCCCCGGATCAAGTTTTGTGTTTCATCATTTATTCTTCTATCTTCAAAATAATCAATTAAATTATGCACTAGCAATATTGTTAGTCTACTCTGCTGTTATATATGGAGCTCCATTAAATTTATCACTTGTTTTTGTATAAAATTTATTATTATTACATTTAATATATTATTTGGATATAAAATATATTTCAACCACTACATATATAATAAAATACATTAAGATAATATTTCATCTATCAATTTTGTAAAAAAATCAAAATGTCATACAATTCAAAAGCACAAAATCAAATAATCTTAATAAAAATTTATCTCGAACTAGGTAAAAAGTATGATAAAACCAAAATAAACTACAAATAAATGATCTCTATTTTTTGTTCACATGCTAGCAAAATCAATAATTGTTAATTTCAAATTCAAAATGACAATGCTATAAACCAAGTCCAGCAAAGAAATTGAGAAAGAAAAGAAAATCTATTAACATTATCATATATTTTTAACAAATTGCTTCACAAAAATTTATCAGTACATGTCACTTTACTAATATTTAAATTTTCTTCTATTAATATTATTATATATTTTTAACAAATTACTTCACAGCTTCTTCACAACATCCTCCTCCTTGAATCACATGTGACTAGTCACTAAATCTCACCATTTATATACCAGCAATTATAATATATAACATTAGCCATTGATTATTAAATCTAGTTGGAATATTTCTTTGCATATGTTTGGATTTTTGTTCTGAATCAAAATATGATTGGAACCAAAATATATTGATTACTAATATATACATATATATATATATATTGCATCCATCAAAATTAAGTCCAATATTTCTCTGAGTTAGATTAGAATTGGATTACACCTAATCTTTTGTAGATTTCATAATAAATAATAATTTTTTTATGTGTCATAAAACAAATAATAGGTAAGTTTAGAAATATTTTTGGCAAATAATTAATTGTTTAGGAATTAATTTAGGATTAAAGCATGGTTGGTAATTTTTCTTATGAAATAATATTTTTAGGTGATTTTTTTTTTATAAACATAATCAATTTTTTACTCACTATTTCTATAAGATCAGTTACTTAGTTTTTTTAAGTCTTGGTGGTGATTCCTCGTCATTTTTTAAGTTAAAGTTCCTTGTGTCTGTAGTGATAAAAAGTAACCATTACGATTTTTGAATTCGTATATCATAATAAATAAAAAGTTTTTTATGTGTCATAAAACAAATAATAAACAAGTTTAGAAATATTTTTGGCAAATAATTGTTTAGGAATTAATTTAGGATTAAAGCAAGTTTGGTGATTTTTGTTAGGAAATAATATTTTTAGGTGATTTTTTTTATAAACATAATTAATTTTTTACTCACTATTTCTACAAGATCAGTTAGTTAGTTTTTTTTCAGTCCTGGTGGTGATTCCTCGTCATTTTTTTACCTCGTGTCTGTAGCGATAAAAAGTAACCATTACGATTATTGAATTCGTATACATTAAAAATTTTACGAAATAACTCTCATCGTCTTTCGCATTACTTTTTTTGGCCATATTTTAGTTACCTCACATAGAAGGTTTTTTAAATCCAATTAATGCTAGGAGACTGTCGAATGTTTCTCAATAATTTGCAAAGTTTCCTATTAATTTGGCTCAGTTTTTCTGTGCGCATCCATTCTCCCGTATCTCGTACAAATTCAATGTAATGTGATATAATAATCGTCTCACCGTTACCTTAATAGAGATTGTGTTTCCATAAAGTTTTAAAGTCAAGATATATAATCCACGGCATCTTTCTAACCCGTTTAGATAAAAAAAAAACCCCAATATTTATCGAATGATCCATTTTGATAAGACTCTCTCTCTCTCTCTCTCTCTCTCTCTCTCTCTCTCTCTCTCTCTCTCTATATATATATATATATATATATATATATATATAAAATATTTTTCTAATAAAATGTTTCTTTAAAATTTTGTAAAATACTTTCTGATGTAATTATTAAATTAACACATAAGTATGTTGACGTGTTACTGCATGAATATTTACTTTATTTTTATTTGATTTTGAGTGTCCACATTTTTACTTTTTTATTTAAGTATATGTATTTTTTTTATTTAATCCTATGTATTTTAAAAAATTTATTAACGAGTGTTATAAATTTTGAAAGCCAATAAATATCTATTTTGATATCCATAATTTGTACTAAGTTAGATAAAATTATCTTATGAGAACATCCATTTTTATTTGGGTATAGCATCCAACAATGGAAGAAGAATGAGCCTAGGACTGAAACTTCATTTCAATCTTTCCAAATATTACATGTTAGACTATGCATGAAAGTTCAGAGATTTCAATCTTCCAAAAGATGACAATCCATATTTTTTACCCAGTTAAATGGAATTACCTTGCGAGAACATCCATTTTTATTTGGGTACAACATCCAATAATGAAAGAAGAATGAGCCTAGGGCTGAAACTTCATTTCAACCTTCCCAAATACTACCTGTTAGACAAATTAAAATAAAAAACTATTCAATTTAAAGAAAAATAAGAATAAAAGATGACTTGCCAAAATAAAAAAGTCAATTATTCAATTTCCTTCACTTTCTCACAAACCAAATAAATTTCCATCACTAATTTTAAAAGGGTGAAAAAAAATAGCAATTTCATCATAGAATAAGTTGATTTGTCTATGCAATTTTATATATATTCATAAAAAATATATATATATATATATATATATATATATTTCGATCTTACATGCACACGTATTCTCATACCAGGGTTCATCAAAATCCTATATTTTTTAAAAAATTTTTCGTTGCTTTTTTATTTTTTATTTTCTACCTAGTCAGTTATGGTGAGCACAAATTTATTTTTTTTGACATTTTTTATTATTATGTTTTTATAATTTGAATAAATTTTTAACTGTATTGTCGTTTTAATTTTAGATAATTTGGTTAAAATATGATACTCATACGTCATTAGGTTTTAAAATCAGTAGCACTCATTGATAAATTTTGAAATAACATATGCTTAAATAAAAAAATAAAAATAATAACGCTCTATTAAAAATAAAATAAAATATTTATACATATATGACAAATACGTGAACGTATTAAAGTGTCAATTTAATTATAATATTACTATAAATTTAAAATCTAACAAAAATACTTAATTAGAAAATAATCAAAAATTCATGACTCAAATAACAAAAATAAAAATTAAAACAAATATTTTGAATATCTAAAATTTCTAGTTAGAGGATATCTAAGATATCTCGAAGAAAAACAAGACTTTGATGGGCACCAAGCTGATATCCCTCGTTCTCCCTTGTGTACGTCGGTGCAGGGCTCTACTAGATTCCCCCTCAAATTTACTTGGGACTTCTTGGTGAAACTTTGAAAAGTTGGCAAATATCAACCAAAAATTGGACTAAATCGCAAAAACTTATCCTGGATTATGAGCCTTTACCATACACACCCATTCAACTATTTTTTTCTTTTTTATTTCAATCCCTTAAACTGTAGCTTGTATTAATCGACAATCTTTTTGGATCAATTTTTGTTAACAAGTCACGTGTTTTTCTAAAAAATCATTAAAAAGGATTGATTTCTCAGAGAAATTTTTATCTTATTTTATTGGTTGAGGTTGATTCCTTGATGAATTTTTTAATATGACTCTTTTATTTTATTTTTTTATTTGCATAATTTTTTTTTATAACAAGTAATGAAATTCATTTCACGCTCTATATAAAATTAACACATAATAAAAAAAATCGGAAAATTAGTAGAAATTAATAAAATAAAACCTAAAAAAGAAAAAATAATAAAAATTTTACAATTTCACTTTCCCAAAAGAACAGTTGTTTCCCCGGAAACACTATCAAACAAAACCAAAAAGATCCTTCCTTTTCGATCGATCATGCTCTCATTTCATCTATAATTCAAAACCCATCTCTAATTCTCCAAACCCAAACCCATTCTTCCTTTTCAATGGCATCTCCTCCCTTAATGGACACCCTTTTTCAACGCAGTTTAGATGACATAATCAAAGGTCTTCGCCACCAACAAACTACAGAATCCGCTTTCATTTCCGAAGTTATTGAAGAAATCGTTTGTATTTTGTAGCAAAACCGGTTTCGGTTGAGGATTTAAAAACTGGGTCTGTTGTTTCTTTGTCTCTCTTATCTTCCCAACGAATTTGTCTTCTTCTTTTTTTTTTTTTTTTTTTGGTTTTTGAAGAGGGAAGGGAAAAGTTGAAGAAGAAGGCATGGCATTGTCATTGTGTGAAGGAAGAAACTAGTGAAGATTTGTGTTTTGGAACTTTAATTCAGTTGTGGGTCTAAACTTGTTGGGATTGTGTTATTACATTCCTCTCTGTCTTTATAAGGCTCCCTTCTCCTGGTTTTAATCCACAAACCCAGGAATTTATGCGTGTATTTTTTATTATTGCCTCTTCATTTTTTTTTTAGGAATCTTCATTTCGTTTTTGCTTCAGGTATAATTTTGGTGGCTCAGTAAATGAGATCTTGGATAATCATGATGCTTGGTCCATATAATCCTTTACTTAAACTTGGATCCAGCTCTTCAATTTCTTTTCTTTCTTAATTATATATTTTTATTGTGCTATATGTTCAGAGACCTTACTTCGTACCCATCTTCAACGTCACCTGACCTTGCCTAGTTTACCTTAAATTCACTTGTGTCCATTAGATGGTCCCAGACTGAAATTAAAGGATTTTCTTTTTTTAGCACATTTTTGGAAACTGAAACTCAATCTTTCCCACTTTGAAGTTTAAAAAATCATAAATTACGTACCTTCTCTTTACTGCTACCATCGCAGAATTCACCTACTCCCATCTACTTATTTTTACACTTTGCTCTCTTCTTGGGTTGTAGGATAGGTTTGGTTTGTGGGTTTGAAAGCAAAAGTACACTAAACCTCTAGCAGGGTACTAACATGGAGTCTTCCAATTCTAAATCTATTTGTGTAACAGTGGCAGGCCAGGTTTTTTTTTTTTCCTTGCTGGCTCTATTATGTTGAAAAAATTGAAAATTGTGTCTTGATGGGCTGACTGTTTTTATTGTGCTTACTATTGGAATGTTTTTCTCTTTGAGCCAATCCATGTCCTTTAAGAAGAATTGCTGCTTTTAGGGTTTGCATAAATTATGTTTTGCTAAAATTTCTATAATTAACACACACTGACACTGTATTGTTAAAATAATTGAGATTCCATTGTATAAGGCAACAAATGTCAATTTTCCATTAGAGACTAATTAGCTTTCTATAGTCAGAGAAGGTTTTGTTTCCAACCTTCAGAGAAAATGCAAAAGAAATTAACATAGTTTCCTCCCATCATGCCTTGCAATTATCCATAGTAGATCATGGTTAAAATATTTGCTTTTATTTATCAAATCTTTCATATATGTGTGTGCGCTCCTTCTAGACACATATACTCCTTGTTTCAAGAATGCTAGAGAGAGAGAGAGAGAGAGAGAGAGGGAGGGGGGTGGGGGGGGGGGTGTTGTTTGGGCTGTTTGTGGTTGCTTCTAAAAGAACTTGAAATAATATCTGGAATATCAAGCAGATCTTGATTCGAAATGGTTATCGATCATGAGATGCTTTTATAAATATAAATTTAAGAGTGGATGTTATCTTGATAAAGACTAAAGGGAAGACTAATGGGATGCTGAGTTATCAATAATTCTGAAGATTATGTACTAACAGCTTTAAGTTGGAGGTTTAAAAGTCTCCTTCACCCTTCAATTACTATTTAACTCCAACAAGGCAGTAATCTTAATTAGCTTGACAATAAATAAATGCGTAGGCAGTGTATTTTTCATTTATTTTCATGATCATCTTGATCTTTTAGTATCTTGTTTTTTTTTTTTTGTTTTTTTTGTTTTTTTTGTTTTTTTTTCAGTCAGTTACAAAATTTACATCATTGCATCCAATGCTTATTGTTATATTGATGAATTTTATATTTTAGCAGTCTTCGGTACTTCTCTCTAGATCGAGTTTTGTGTTTTGTCATTTATGCTTCTATCTTCAAAATAATGGATTAAATTCTGCACTAGCAGTACTATCTGTCTACTCTGCTCCTATGGTGTTCAACTCTCTCTTTTTTTTCCTTCTTTCATAATAATTAATTGCAGGATGGACGCGATGTACGATATAGTGTCCCGCCGAATGCCTCTCTATCTAGGCTCATTGATGATTATTGTAGCAGAAGGGGAGTTAAAGGTCTGAAGTTTTTTTACAATGGAAAGCGCGTTACTAGAAAACATACTGCAGCTAAGGTAACATTCTTTTTCTGTCCTTCAATCTTCTTTTTCCTTTTTTTCCCAATAAATTTTTGCCTTAAGTGAAATTACTAGAACCAATAAGAATAGCAAATAATGTTGGTAAAGGTCACTTTGAAACAAGAGAACTGATTTGTGATTGAAGTTCAAATCCTGTTCTTGTCATCCTGAAAAGAATCTGTGCTGTCGTGTGCAGACAAGGATGATATGTGTTATCAGATGGATGTTTCTTTGAACATTATTCCATCCAAGTGTAAAGAACACTTCTGTAGTCTTTATTAGATTGCTTAGCACAAGGTTGATCTTGAGCTCCAATATTCTGGCCTTCTTTCCTGCTGCTTTTGCATTTCTGTTTGGTCTACATTTGGATAGAGATGTATCTAGTACTGGTTTTGCTTGAGCTAGAAAGTCATAACCAATTGTTGGGGTAGCAAAAAATGAGAGTCCCCAACTATCTCCCACATATATTGGTACTATCTTCCTATATATATTGCCATGATGCTGGAAGATATATCAAGGATACTTGTGTCTCCTTACAAGAAGAAGGCTGCATCTATCGCCTCTCCTCACCAAGCAAATCTAGAATCTCATCATCTGGCTCAATATGGCACAGAAACACAAAGGACTGGTTTCTATTTCTATTGTGATGGTTGCTCATGGATGTAATTTCTTTCAAAGATATGAATTAATTGTATGCTCATGGATCATACAAAAAGATATATTGTTACTCAATTTCTAACAACTTCATAGCATACAGAGAAGAATTCTCTGTAGAACATTGCTTTTTATCTTGTTTTCCCTTTGCTTTCATCTATGCAAAATGATAACAGATGGAGGACTATCATTTTCATACCCTACCATTTATTCCAAAACAACACTGAAACGACAATTTTACTGTTTTTTTTTTTTTTGGACCCTCTCCTTTTTACTGGTGAGTATTGACTTGCTACATTATTTTGACTCAAGCTTCTTGCTAGTATGATCTGCTGGTTTGAATTCACATATCAAAAGAAACAAAATTTGTTTTGATCGATGATTATTGATTTAACCATCTTAGCTTAGCTAGATGGCTTCCTCTTCGATGAATAGATTTAACTTTACGTTCTACACACTGTAGTTCACGTATCAAAAGAAACAAAATTGGCAATTTCAAGCATTTGCTGATGAGTTAACTTCAAGTAAATTCAAACTTTGGTCGCTTGAGAACTGCTGAACTTTTTCTACTTGAATTTCAATTTGGTGCTTCTGTTCGGATGTTTTGTTGCTGCAATTTTGGTTTTCATTTACTCTGGTCTTTTTTAGTTTGATTATTCTCTTCAAATTTTGATTTGCACGTGCAGCTTGGATTAGAGAATGAGGATCAAATTGAAGCCATGATGGACATGCATGGAGGGGGTTGCAAGGTCTTCTAAATTGCAACTGGGTGAGTGAAATCGGTTCATTTTCTGCCAAATGTGTACCTAATGATCTCCAGTACTTTGTTTTAAGATATGGAGAGCTGGATACCGTTTTAAACTGCATTATGGCACAAAATGATTTGATGGTTGATCTATTCTTGGATTGTCCATGCAAATGAATTGGTAGTTTTTTTAAGTGCTTTTGCAACTAATTAATCCAATGGAATGATCCTTCGTGGTTCATAAGTTATTTTGCGATAATTATTGTGTGAATAATTAGGTTTTAATGACCTGATTTTATTCTATCAGAACATATGTTTTTATACTCAAAAAGAGTTCTAAACATTAGGACTTGTTTTCTACTTTAAAGAGAACTACTTCAAAGAGAGAATCTTCCTTAATTTATTCTAAATAAGGAAACAAATATACAATTAATTACATGTTGATTTACAGTCTAATTCATAGTTATTTTATAGCAAAGAATCCTAACAGATTAACAGACTAATTTAGCTATTTTATAGCAAAGAATCCCAACAGATTGAATACTGCTATTATACAAATCAAATGACATGTGATTGTTTTGTTTACAATTTGCGTCCTCCAAAAAACTGGATGTTGTATTTTGCAGTAGCAGAAAACATTGAAGAACATTGAGTCAAGTGTTCATAAGAAAACCGTAATCTTGTGATGGGAATAGGAATATAAAGAGTTGTTAATTTTGCTTGTCAAAGAACTTTCATATTGCAAATTGAACAGAACTTACAACATACAGAGACACTGCTCGCACCGAATCACACTCAATCTAGTGTCAGTTCAAGGTGAGCTAAAACTGTTCGGACACAAAATTGGTTCAACCAACTTTTGTTCTTTATCAGCTTGCTGCTTTTGCTGATCCTTTCACAGGACCGTAGCTAATGAACAAGATTCGGCAATCGACTAAGTTGACTGACCATTTTCAATCATTAAGAAAGTAGTTTAAGCCGAAGTACTATTACTAAAATTGCAAGAGAATCGCCTGAAGAAAGACCTGAACAATCAAGCAAAATTACTGGATACATTGAACTGCAAAAATTTAACACCCAACAGGAGAACATCTGAGAGGAAGTTGCGTGATTCTAAATACAATGGCATCGATTTGATCCTCGTTCAGTCATTTCAGTTTGCTCGTTCTCTACACCAATAAACTCATTTTCGTAAACATTTTAAGCTAATTGTTATTCAATATTAAGAAACAATTCCTCCTCCAAATTGATTAAATACGATGATTTTTGAACCACAGTTTATAGATTTCATTGAACCATTGTCCGCCTAAAGTTTCACATCATCTTGGAGTTCTTTAAATAATTTGCAGAGGCCAAACAAATAGTCCCCTGCTTTTTCCACAACTTGTTCCATTTTTATTATTTAATAGATCAGGCGCTTGGATATGCCTAACATGCTAATTGGGTATGACACTGTCTAAGTCATTTAAATACACTTCGAGCACCATGCATACACACACATAACCAAATACGATCAGCAAAGTAATAAAATATTCATTGAGAGATAATTTTGACGTTCTTTGTGTTAATTTGTCCTAAAAATAACTATTCAGGCAAGTCCTAATGAGTAACATATAACAACAAATTGTTCCCACATAACAATTGAAAAATAAGTTAAGTCACTTTATTACACTTATATATATATATATATATATATATATATATATATATATATATATATATCTCAAAATCCTTGTTTGGGAAAAAATCTACTAGTCCATTTCGTAAAAGATTATCTTAATATAATTCTAAAAAAAAACGAATTTATAAATAAAAGTTGCTGACATTGTATAATAATTAATAACCTTATAAAAAATCAAAAAGAACAATTTGATTGGGGCACATGTAGTATTAATTGATGAATTAAACAAGACGAATATAAATAGAAAAAAAAATCTAGTCTTATAATATATAACATTGTAGATGAATCATGTATATGGGCGAAGTCCAATTGATTTATGGTTGTGTTAAGCCCAATTAGTGTATGTGGCTTAGCTTAAGTGCGAATGAAGGATACTCTTGAAATACTGGTGGTATTTCTCTTGAGTTCATGTAGGTGATTGTTCTCACTGTTAAAAAAACAAAAAAAGACAAAAAATAGAGTCATATGGGTTAGTTCATATAAATATCTTTAAGTATTTCAGTAGTACTCACCACTATATACTTCATCCATTTAAATTGAATTACATGTATTAATTGAGAAATACGTTAAATTTGATGTGTTTTTTGTAATTTAAAGAAATAAAAATAATTTATGAAAATAAAAAAATAAATTTCATATTAATTTTAATGTATAATTATCATTTAGTACATGTGTATTAGTATAAAATCAGTATATATATCTTAGTTTAAATAGATAAAATAAAATGCGATAAATACTCTTAAAATACTGGAAATATTTTTGTTAGTTCACCTGATTATTGTGAAAAAGTAAACAACCTATTATATATGTTTAGGTAATTCATTTTAAGTAATTATTAAGTAAAAAATAAATATTTTATTATAGGAAATGAGTATTTTCATTTCAAATTTAATGATGAAGTCAAGTTAAATGTGATCGCTTCAAATTAAACCATTGAAGAAATTCGGTCACGTGGGTTTACATATTTTGACGAGCAAATTTTCAATTCCAATGCCCATGTGACAATCAATAATTATAAAATCTTTAAACCTAACATAAAATCAAATAAACTAAATGTTTAATTTAAAAATCGTATATAAAATTTGATATCATTCATCCATTTTTAAAATTTTTGATTTTTATATAGATAGATATTCCATTTCAAAAAAATAATTAAATTTTGTCATTTTATTTTTGTATTTAAAAATTTTGCAAATACAAATGTATGGTGAAGGATACTCTTGCAACTTCATATCAGTTATGTGATGTTACTAATATTAGTAAAGTGATATATATTAATAAATTTTTATGAAGTAACTTGTTAAAAATATTTGATAATATTAATAGATTTTTCTTGCTTTCTTTGCAAGCCATGATTTGTAGTATTATCATCTTGAATTTCGACTTAACAAATATTGTTTGCTAGCATATGAACAAAAAATATAGATTATTTATTAGTTGTGTATTTTTAGTTTTTTCGTACTTTTTACTTAGTTCAAGATGAATTTTTATTAGGATTATTTTATTTAATTTGGACTTTTGAATTGTACGGCATTTTGATTTTTTTTACAAAATTCATAGATGAAATATTATCTTAATATATTTTATTATATATGTAGTAGCTGAAATATATTTTATATTCAAGTTATATATTAAACATACTAAGCATGAATTTTATATAAAAACAAGTGACAAATTTAATGGAGCTCGAATCCGATCTAAATCCGTTAGGATCCGGATCCGGATTCATATTTTCAAAGCTTAATTCGAATTCATAAGATTCAATCCGATCCGTTTTATTAGCAAATCGGATCCGAATATACTATAACTCGACCCGAATTCGACTAGTTGATAGCTCTACTTGTAATTTTTTTTTTTTTTTTTACTGTAAGAGATTTGATTTTTGTATTATTGTGAATAATTTGAATCCCAAAGCAGCTATGAAAAAGAAAATTTTCCTTGAATATGTTAATTGAGTTGTGAATGGTCTATATAGATTACAATTGAAATAAAATATAGAAAAAACTTACCAGTCTCTTCTTACATAACAAAGGTCATTGTTCAATTTGTTTTTACATTTTTAATTGAGTCAATTATATTCTTGCAAATAAGTGAGTTCCTAATTTATTATTTTGATGATATTTTATGGCCAAGCTATTAGAACCAGTCGCATAGTATGCACATGACTCAATATTACATCGAAAATGATCATGAAATAAAAAGAAAGTTAGCTCAAATTGTCTTTACATTTTAGACTCAATTTTCAATCTATCATTAAAAGTCTAATTGCTCTCGATTTATTTTTATATTTTATATCATTCTTCAATCTACCATTCTATAGTTATTTTCATGCAAACTAAAAAAAAAAAAAAAGAAACCTTCAATTTGAGTGTCAATCTTTGATTTTTATTTAGTTCGAGGGCATGATCTTTTATTCTATCTATTTGAGTGATCTATATTTGATTGTTATTTTTATATATATTTGAATTTGCTCTCACAACTAAATTTTAAAAAACAACATGATTGGAATCAATTGACACGTGAAAAAAAGTCTCGTGTATATTTATTGAGAAAAAAGATTAAAATAAAAATTATAAATTATAAAAACACATGCTAGAAATAAATAAAAAAATCAAAATAGTAAAAAATTTAAAAATGAAAACTTAAATAGGAGGAAAAACTTTGTTTTCATTTTCAATTTTTTTTTTACAATCTTTGGCATCCTTTTTCTTTTATAAATGCGAGTGAGATCTATTTTTTACCATGTGTTAGTTCAATCCAACCACATTAGTATTTTGAAAACTTAATCGGCAAAAGAAACTCAAATAGAAAAAGAAAATAAAAAAATTAGGCACTCAAATAGAAGAAAATCAAAGATTGGACACCTAAACTGTAGTTTTCTCTAACAAAAATATACTCGGTTGATAAACTCAAATGCCACCTAATTTAGAAAATAAAATGAAAAGAAAACAAATTGTCATGCGATGTTAAAATTCTTCTTTTTTTTAGGGTTTTTTTAATATATAAATTAGATTAGGTTTGAGCTTCTCGCTTGATGGTATTTTCATTAATTTGGATGGGAACATCTAATAAAGAGATAAATTGAAGAATAACACTATATTCAGAGACAAATTAAGAGTAATTAAATTTTGAAAAACAAATTAGAGACTAAGTTTAAATTGTAAAGAGAAGGTAGGCTAATTTTTCTTTTACCTCAAAATCATTTTTGGTACAATATTAAGTCATATGCATATCACATGACTGATTTTTATGGTTTTGCCACAAAATATCATTAAAATAGCAAACTAGAAATTTGCTTATTTTACATAGATATAAGTTGTTCAATTAATAGTACAAATACATATTGAACAATAATCCCATCATATTAGATTATATCTTTTAAAATATATATTTAATACACAAAAGTTATGAGTTCAACATTAAGCTAGCAAAAAAAAAAAAAACAGTTATTCGTTCATAATAAAATATAAATATACATAAAAAACGCATAAAATATAAAAGTGCAATCTGCTATACGTTGTGTGCTTATGCCTGATGTCACTTGGTTGTATGGAAAGCTACAACAAATGGTTAATTTACAACTCCAAGTGCTTAGTAGCTGGCAAGAAGCAAATGTACTAAAGCAGTATGGCATAAAATTGTTTGGGGATCATTTAGCATCCCAAAATATAGGTTCATCTCATGACTTGCAATTTTTGATCGTTGATCCTTAAGGATAGACAGATTCGAATATGAAGAAATGTTAATGTTGGTTGCCTGTTATATGAAAATGCTAATGAGAATTGGGATCATTTATTTTTTGAGTGTTTCTACTCTAAGAATGTATGAAATGTTATTCTTCTTAAATATGAATTTTATAGAGTAATTGGTATTTAGAGTATAGAGTTACAATGCACCATACAACATGTTAAAAAAACAAATCTATTATTATCAAATTGACATAAAATGCAATTATTTATGGTCTGTAGAAAAAAAAATTATATAGAAGCTATATTAATGTTTTTTTTCTTTTCAAATGTTGTGATTAGAATGATTTATCATATTGTTCGTCGAAGTTCTAAATTTCTAACCGAAACAATATATATATATTTTGATGAATGAAAAACTTCATTTAATAATAATAATAAAAAAAAAAAGAGTTTATAGTTTAGTGTTGCTCTTATACAAAAAAGATGAGATTTCAAATTCGAATCTCATTTTTATCGTAAATTCTAATTTAAGTTGAAACACACACTACACTCACAGACTATAAAAAGCACGAACAAATTGCTATACATGAAGGACTGATATGCCTGGCAGATTTTTGTATGCAATTTACGTTTTATGCAATTAGAGAATGGAAATGGCAAGTGGTTGTTGAAGGAGGGTGATTACCAAATGGGCCACGTTTTATCAGAAAGGCCCCAGGGCGGCGGTTTAGCCGCGGCTCGATGGAATATCTCCTACATTTAACCTGTCTTCATTGAACAAGAGTAAATAATAATTTTTTTTTTAAATTTTGAGAAATAAATAAATAAATAAATTTTTCTTTTTTAAAAAATTAATTATTTAATTCTTTTATTTTAAATTTATTTATAATTTAATCCCTTCATTTATTTTTTTAAAATATCTTTATTAAAAAAATAAAAAATATATAAAGATTGATGAAAAATAAGATATTTTATGAATTGAAGTAAGAAAGATCAACTCTGATAAAATAATAATAATAATAATAATTTTTAAAATAAGAGAAACTAATTAATTTTTTTTTCAAAACGGGAGGAATTCATTTATGATTTAATCCATTGAACAAAGATTGTAACACAAAAAAAAAGATCGTGGTTTTGATTATTTTTAAAGGATATACAACATCGCTAGTTTATCGAGAAATAAATAAAAATTGGGCAAAAAGGCATACGTTTCTTATGCTCGAGGAGGAGACTGGTGATTCGCAAAACAATAGAATCCAAAATTGGTCGTAAAAAGCTGCATGCAAGTTTGATTCAGACAAGCTTAAAAATCATACCTAACATATTTATAGTTCGCAGGAATCAAAATTATGGAATATGTTCATCCAAACTTCACTTAGATGGAAAAATGAAAACAGTGGAAAAAAAAGAAAAGAATTCGAGGTCAACGGAGAGATTCTTCTTTGATTTCTTTTGGGCCATTGAACCAATAAGCGCGTTACGAGGCCAGCTACGTGCATGCATTCCCTATGCAAGTAAACTCTTATTTTTATTGACTACTTGGTTTCGTTGACCAAGCTCGTATACTAGGTGATGCAAAAGTCAAAGTAAACTATGAAACCATGGCATTTAGTGGCTATAGCTTCTATCAACTTGGTTATAAATTGAGGTGAATGTTCAGCTATCAAATGCACCAACTTCTTCATCGACTCAAAATTGGATACTTCAGCTAGAAATTTTGCAGTAAACGAAAGATGGCACCCCCACCTGCATCCACGGCTTCTCGAATGATCGCTCTATTTTTGAGGGTCCTCACTTTTGGTTTCCTTATTGTATCACTTGTCATCTTGACCACCAATACTGCTACCTTAGAAGTAGGCATGGCCGAGGTTAAAGTCCGCTTCAAGGATATTTATGCTTATCGGTAAGTGCCATTCATCCTTGTTAGAATTTGCCTTACCATGCAAGATTGTGCCTGCGATGAAAATTGCTTTCATCCAGTTTGAACTTCTCATTTATATAAAAAAGAAAAAAATTATTCGCATTGATGGCTGTTATATATAACTATATTTTTTCACCCTCAATTTTTTTAGTGATTCTTATTATCTTTTTCTTTATAAATTGCAGATACATGCTTGCGTCAGTTGCGTTCGGATTAGCATATACGCTTTTGCAAACTGCTTTCACGTTACGCAACATGGTCACAGGAAACAGCCTAACAAGTGGTGACGGCAACCTTGTGTTTGATTTCTATGGCGACAAGGTACGTACAACATGTAGATCATGTTCTCTCGATTACTTGTCATTTATTTCGTTGGAGGATTTGATTAGAAGAGTTGTAAGTTTAAACCTCAAAAAAGATTGAATAGAGATTAGAGGAAAACTTGTAAAAAGATGGATAGGAAACAGAGGGTTGTTGGAGTGTCGCCTCTGATAATATTGCATGCCTAGCCCGTTTGGCCTCCCATAATAACTTTCAATAATTTTTTTTTAAAAAAAAAACAAAAACAAAAAAACACTACCACGGGTTTAATGTAATTTATCATACTCTAGTTTATTCAAAAGCGCATTTTGAATGATATTTAGTACCCATTTATTCAGGGATTGTAGGTTTATTTTCACTCATGTTTTTAAAAATGCCGAACTTTTTTAGAAGCAATAAAGTCCAATTTTCATATAAAATCAGCTAGATGACATTGACAAAAATAAAAAACAAAGTTGACTTTCTCATAGAGTGGTGCATTTTCATAGTTGGATTTTCGTTTTTTCCTGTCTGATAATTGGACGCTTTCATTTTCTGCTTGGGCAGGTTATTTCATACGTACTAGCCACGGGTGCTGCTGCGGGATTTGGCGCTACAAAAGATATGAAGCCACTTTTTGCAGGGGCAGGAGTTGATAAATTTTTCAACAAAGGTTATGCATCTGCTAGTCTTCTCCTCCTCGGATTTGTGTGCACAGCTATATTATCCGTTTTCTCATCCTATGCCCTCCCAAAGAAAGTTTAATTGTATCGACCCTTAGATTAGTGTTTAAAGTATATTTCGATTTTCCTTTCAAGTCCTAAGAAATCATTGCTGCCTTTCTTGTTCGAATTTTGTTTTATCAACAATGTAATGTATAGCGTCCTAATGCAAGAAGTGTTTTTTTTTTTTTTGGTTAATTTGGTTCTTTAAGTATTGTACTGAATCAATGTTACGTTAAAAACTATATATATATATATATATATATAGCTCATCTAAATTTCCACATCCTCCGGTTCCACCAAGATGTCCATGAGTCTCCTCCCAAGAGGGCCTAAAAAAGGACTCCACCGCTACTATCCGGCCTTTAGGTCCATAAAGCTATCTAGTTTTTGTTAGGTGGGCCGGGTTAAAAGCCTGTAGTCTTGTGCCGTTCTTACCACGCTAAGTTTATAATGGGTTGTGTGGCTGTTGGGTTTCATTTTCAATTAAATTAGACTGGGTTATTTGTTTTTGTAATCATTTCTGCGCTCTAAAAGATCTTTCATCTAAAAATAAAAGAAAAGATAGAAACTCCAGCACTTCCTCAGTTTCTTAGCAATTGCCCCGAAAGGAATCTTTTGCATAATTTCTTTTCAACAAAGGGGTAGGAAGTACAGGGAAAAAGAAACGGCACATTCTCTGTACTTTACGCATCAAAGGAGGATGTCCAAACGTTTTTTCTTTGTTATTTTTCGAGGAAAAAGATTTTATTTGTCTTGTTCCTGTTGGATTTGACATCTAACTGAATTTAAATCAAGGGAGATGGAAGTTTCTTGTATGGTTTCACTTCATGATGTTTTCATATATATGTCATGTGAAAAACTAATCTCCCTAAAGCCAACATATTCAAAGATTCTCGACTCTTTAATTGTTATGATTGAACTATATATATATATATATATATGAAATCATATTTTTATCTGAGTTGACTTGCATGTAAAATAATACTCAAATTTCGCATGGAGATGGACCTAACTAATAAACAACACAGAAAGAGAGATACGTACGAAAACAAAAAATTTGTGCAGATACTTAAGATCCGGATGTCGAATATATGAATCATAGGGAAGCCTATGCAAATATTATGCCCTTTTGGTGTTTCTTGAAAAGTGCCAAAATATAAAAAATGCTGTCAAAAATTTAAAAGACGTAAATTAATCCAGGTCTTAGAATTCTATTTTACCAAATGAAATGCTTTGATTAATCAATCGAAATAACGCCTCAAAGAGCAATAATATATAAAAAAGAAGGTATGTTTGGTGTTGATCTGTTTGATAATTGTTGTATTGTGCATATAAATATTTAAAATATCTAAATAGTGTTTGATTAGATTTTATTATCGTGCTTTTGAGATATAAAATGATTGATAAAAACGATAACATACTAAAATATTATAACAAATATATTTAGTTATATTAAATATTTCATAACTTTTTGGACTAACATGACATGTGTTCAAGTGAGGTAATTCTGAAATTCAAAAAAAATATTTTAATTAAATAGGGTGGTAGCATATTTAGACACATCAAATGGAATTACATAAAACATTATTATTTTTGGAATGTATACTCTTAAATAAAAAAAATAAATAAATAAATAATTGTTATTTTAATTTAAAAAATGGATTACATAATAAGCTGATGTGCTTTTAGTTACTTAAAAATAGGATGTATCTTTCTTTATTTTGAAAGTAAAATATATATTTTTTTCAGCGACACTCGTCTTTATTTTAAAACAAAATCTTATTAATCAAACACTGTTTTTAGACTGAAAATAATAAATAAATGTTTTTTTTCAAAAGCACAATTATACCGGAAAGACATTAAATATTGTTTGGTATTTTTGTTTTTTCACTTCACCCCAACTTTAAATTATATATCAGGTGGTAAGGCAAGGATTGTTACGAAGGTAGAGTGACAAAGAAAATTTAAAATACTTAAAGAATAACTATACATTAATATTTATTATATAGATTTATTTTGAGGAGCGAGATTGGTAGAGAATGAGAGAGATGTCGCTACCCGATGTCGGACAAGACTCCCCCAAAACTTAAATCTAAGAGTTAATTGGTATTTACGAGTTTGGAGTCGCCACCTAGTATTGAAGGAACTAGGAATCTAAAAATAGGTATTGGCTCGTAGATTCTATGGCAAGGAGTTGGTTACACTTTTTGAAATATATTTAATCACCAAAACGTGCCCTTTTCAAAAAAAGATACCACATCTAGTTTAGTTCTAAATTCATCTCCTAAAATGTTTTATCCATGTCAAGCTATTTTTTTAACTCCTATTTTTCAAAGTCAAATTAAATTTTTTAGTTTGGGTGTGGCATCGTATTGAAACGATTGTCGGTCCCCTTCGTCGAGCGACACATCGGCTCAAACATCGGATCCATTATAAGCCTTAACACAGTCGGTGTGTTGGAGGACATCCCGATTATTAGATTTTTGGGTGATGTCAATCCCTATCGGATAGGAGACTTCGTCAAAAAATTTCAATGTTTTTTCTTTGTTTGGTGACGTCGGTCCCTATCAAATAGGAGACTTCGTCGAAATTTTTTATTATTTTTATTTGTTGTCGATAGAGAATCATCATCGGTCCCTAAAAATTAAAAGAGTTGACGATTAACTATCCCTTAATTATCTAAACTAATTATGAAATTAAAAAAAAAATTAAAATTTTAATTAACTAAAATCAACTAAAATAAATTTCAAGAAATTAAATATATTGAAATCATTTTTCGTCCCTAATAAATAAGAGACTCGTTGATCCAATATTTTAATCATATAAAAATTCACATATTAAAATAAATCTTACACCTAAGTATCTCTAGATTTTCTAACATTCATAAGACTAAAAAAATATTACAAAATACATAAAAAAAAACGGAACAACCCAAAATTCACCTTACATTGTAAAATTATAAAAATGCCCCTAGAATGCCAAGAATCATTGCTAAGTGACCGTTCGTCTTCCGGTGATCTGTTCGGGCACGTGGACCACCCCGCCTTGTAGATCGGATTGCTGCGAGTCCAACGAGTAGTAGTATCGACCGGAGACAACGCTAGAGGCGAAAGATCGAGCCTCTAAAGATTCGGTCGGATCTCCTTTCTTCATCGGCGATGAATCCGACCTCTTTTTGGGATTCCAAGCACACCGGTAGACTCACGAGGTTGAGAGAAGGATTTCTATGATAGTTAGGACTTTCATTTCCTTCTAGATCGATCAATTTTTTCGGAGTTTATCAAAACGGGTCGGAAACGGATCCCATTCAATTAAATCGTTTTTTGGTGTCTTTGGGTCACGATTTTTAAATGGAAACACTCGTGGGAGATGGGTGGTCGATTTGTGGTGGTAGATCTCTTGTTGGTGACCAATGTTAAGAGAAATGACCATGTCTTTTTCTCGGTCGGGTCGTGGTGGTTTATTCTTCGATTTCTCTCTCCTCCGCGATCAATTATCTCTCTAATCGGTATGGATAGGGTGATCTAGTAATGGGCTACATGTGGGTGTGTTTATCGGGGTTAAAACCGATCGAAAAACGATCAATTGAGGCATAAAACTTTCGACTGGGTAAACGGGTTAATGGGTTTGGATTTTGGGTTATGGCATATTTGGCAATTTCTAATCCGGTTTTCAATATATTTTTTATGTATATAGTTTTTTTTTCTTGGCTCTCTGGCTGTGTTTTTTTGTCTCCCCAAATGTCAATCGAATCCGAACGGCTTTTTATAGGTCGAAACCTTTTAAAATCTCTTCCAAAATCAGTCCATTCAAATTCAAATTCCAACTCGTCAAATCTTATTTTTGAGATTTGATTAGCTAAAAATAAGGAGATTCAAAATTAAAAAAAAAAAGATTAGTGGAAGATTTCGACATATTTTCGAATGATTTTAGGAAGATTCAATATTTTTTTATATATATATTTTTTGTATTTTTTGTATTTTTTTGTATTTTTCAAGGAACTAAAAATTAGGTTATGACAAGAGAAAATGACATTCAGATACATCAAAATTTATAAAAATAATTCGATGAAGTTTAATTTTTAAATATGTTTTCTTTTTTATATATTTTTTTATGAAATAAATGTTTATGATTACTCTCGTGCTGTCATAAGATTTCTCAAACTTATGCGCGCGTCATCCATTTCATCCTGATTTGCCTTTCTTTCTGTGAATTGGGAATAGTCAAATCACGTGATACGGATCAGACGATAAAAGTAGAAAATTAATTAAGAAAGGCCGGTTGTGACTTCGTGTATAGACCGCGTTGCGTAACAACTCCAAGTATTTCTCTGAAATGGTACGCTGAGAGAGTGGAAATTAGATGGAAATATCAGTATGACATCTCTTTTCTATTAGTTGCGGAGCACCCCTTCTCGAACAAATTATATATGCACGATTCTTGGTTTGCAAGTCTCGCGCACCATAAATATATAATGGTATTTATAATCTTAAGCAATATATATAATATATATTGTCGATTTTTTCATGAACGTCACGCAATCAAGTTTACATGGTTTGATTAAATATTTACTATGAGTGGAATATTGTTTTATTAACCACAGCAGCTGTTCATTTTCTCCAAAAAAAAAAAATCTTCCGCAACCTTATTTATGTACTTAAGTTTCTAAATAAAATATATTAGGTCGAGGTAGGTGGTATACCTTTCAAATTATTTATTAAAAAAAAATTCAATTAATATATAAAATAATCCGAAAAAAGAACCCTTAACGTTGAATATAAAAATATATGTACATATATAGTTACTCATTTTTCTGCCCCGTGACTGAAAAAAAAAAAAAAAAGAAGAAGAAGAAAGATGCAAATGTGAGGATGTCGTGAATAAAAATTAACTTGCTATAATCAAGGCAATATTACAAATTAAAGAAGAGTGAAATAGTGTCCACTAATGTAATCCGTCAACCAATGATACTTTATATTAATTGTATATTGAGTTTGGTCAGTAATTCATTGGATGTAATTATAACAACTTTTTTGAGAAAGAGATATTAATTATAATAAATTAAGTAGACTTGTATTCATGTTTTCGGAATTCAGATCTTTTCATGTTTTATGAGGAACATGATCATCATATCTAAATGCAAATTTAATAGACATGATTTATTTCATGATAAAAATTATAACAACTTAAATTTTTTATCATTTTATTTCTCTCTTGATTATAGTCATTGAATTTAAAAACAATTTGGAACACTGACCTGTCATATTTCTAAATGAATATTAAAAAAATCCAAATCTATATTTCTGAGTCTGACCTTAAGTTTAGAAAGAAAAAAAAATTGGGAATTAGTTATATTTGAAGATCAATTAATATTTTAGAAAATCCAAGTGGTTAACCAAAATCTTCCATTTCATTAGGGTATAATTATGCTACATAGCAAACATACAGTTACATACCCAATGAAAGACATTATACATAACATGATTTGCTTTTCTTAGGATCTTATATAAAAAATTGAGAAATTTAATAATACTCAAGAAATGACTACTGTATATGCACATTAATTATTTTTTAAGTATTATAAATTAGTCGTGAATATAATGATACACGCACACGAATGGCCATAAATCGCAAACACCCATGCAGTATATAATTTCAATAAAATTATATAAAAATTCGCTGCCATATTTTTTGCCAATACAAACCTGGAGAATCAATTATATATTATGAACCTAATAAGCAAACATTCCTACGGAGGTAATCACAAAAAATTATTTTCTATGATTTTTTATAGATTTAAACTCTCAATGATAACATAGAAAACCAATTAAATCGATTAAACCTTAAACAGCACTCATAGAATTTTTTTTTTTTAAGCTATAGTTTTGCAACCTCAAATCCAATTATTGATTTATTTCCATACACAAAGTAACACACAACTAGTCGGTTAAGCAATATTGCTAGTATCTCTTATGCTTAGGCAATAAAATAATTGGTTGAATTACAAACAGCCATATAGGTCATTTTCTTACCCTTACGTTAGTAAATAACTTGTTTAAATAAACATCGCTTGTGTAATGGAATAGATCAAAGCTAGTTTCGTATTATATTAGTTCGACCCATCTCCGTAGGTAAATACAGGGAAGGAGCCAATAATAATTACACTACATTGTGAACTTTTTTAATGAAATATAAGTGTTAGTTGGAAATAATTAACATAAAATGGAATGAAAACTTAAATTTATAGATGATAATCTATTAATTAATTAAATATAATAAAAAATATAATATGAAAAAAAAAACATTTTGTGATAGGATATATATGTCCGCACGTAAAATAATTTCTTAGGACTGAAGACAACTATTCTTCTCAATAACTACGATCGACCCCGAGTAAATTATAAAGCAGTCCTTTTAATTTTGAAAAATAAAATAATCAGTTTATTTTGTTTTGAAAACTAATAACTTAGTCCTTTATCAATCCTTCCAATTTTTTTTTAATTTTTTCTATTTTTAAAATTAAAAATTAAAATAAATTTAAAAAGGACAAAAAATGATTAAGTTGTAATTAAATTTAAAAATATAGAGATTAAATAATTAGTTTTTTAAACAAAGAGGATTCATAATTCTTTTCTTACAACTAGAGGGACTAATTATAATTTACTCCCCCACCACACACGCAAATAATAAAAATAATTAAAAAAAAAACAGCCTTCCAGGATGTTTCTAAGTCGGTTTAGCCATCTATATATAAACCATGCATTAAGTGGAGGTTCTTCATTTACCAAATCCAAACAACTGCTTACTACAGCGCATACATAGTACATCATTTTGGGTATCAAAGACGTTCTCTTATTAAAGCCTGCCGTGTTACTGGAACTTCGATCTGAGATCCTAGCTAGCGGAAACATTAATTTTGGTAAGATTATATTTTATCTTCTTGGTCTTTAATTACCGGCATTAATAATTCATATATGTTTTTTTTTTTTAATCTCTGCTTGGTATTTAATTACCAGGATTAATAATTCATGTATATTATTTTTAAGATATTTTTATCTGTTTGGTATTTACTAGAATGTTTTTTGTTTAATTCAAAGGGTGGTTTAAGAAAATGAGGGCAATAGTATTTCCGAAAAAGGCATGCATGCCATGTATTTTGTACATAAGATGTATATCATATGTTAGCATAACTAACTTCCACCAAAAATAAAATAAAAATTATACTCTTGATTCATAAACAATATCTTTGTCGTTGAATGGGTAAACTACGCACATCTCTTTCTGTGTCCTCTTTTCATTTCGAATCTGGAAACAATTTCTTTTTATATATAGCTTGCGGACAAAAATATGGTATATTATTTATTTGGTCAATGCTTCTGTTTTCTTGGTTTGAGTAGAAATTAGATTATATTGAACTACACACATCGCGATATTTATTTATGATTTGCCTGGACAATAAAGAGTAGGATGATTTCAATCTCTGAAATGTTGTAGTTACATGTTTTATTACGCTAATTGACAAATTTATAATTTTATCGCTTCAACAGGTATGGGGGTTATCCAAGATCAAACATTCTAGTCATGATAGCGAACATTTTCTTTTGTTCAAGTATCCACAGGAGCCTTATGAATGTGATGGATGCAAGGGGCTAGGGTTTGGCCCGTGCTACAAATGCGAGCACGAAGATTGCAACTTCTATCTTCACGCGGATTGCGCACACCCTACTCCATCTGCCTTCCATCCATTTTCGAGGTGCAGCTTGAAATTTCACAGCAAGGCTCCGCAATACGGTGAAAGATACTGCGATGCTTGCGGACAAGATGTGTTAGGGTTCGTGTACCAGTGCAAACACAAGAAGCCATGCGATTACCATCCCGGATGTCTAAAACTCCAGCGTACCTTAACAGCTGAAGATGGCACGAGGCTACACCTGACAGAGAAGTTGCCATCGAAATGCTTAAACTGTGGAAGTAGGGAAACATCGAACCGAATCCAAGGTTGGTCCTATGTATCTTCTTGCGGTCAATATTGTTACCATGTAGCTTGTGTGAAGGACATGATTTTGGAGAAGTGGAGGAAGGGTTATTTCCTTCAAGAAGGAAACGTGAATGAGGAGAATTACCTGGCACTTCAAAGTTTCCTTCCAAGTAAAGAAGTAGCAGCAATCCCGAGTGGGAAAAGCTCAAGAAGCAAGACCAAACAAATGTGGTGGAAGGCAAAAACAATCATTATGCTTATTATTTCTGCTTTGTTTGGAGAACCGACGGCTCTGATTTCGTTGCTTGTTGAACAGTTGATTTCCAATTAAAGGGGAATACAGGCCTCGTAGATGATTTTGCTTTTGTGCATAAAATCTTGTAACTAATGTACTACTGCTTTTTTTTTTTGATAAAAATTATTTTGTTTTTGCTGTGTATATTGTTTTTCTCTGTTTATAGGTTTGTGTATATTGTCTTTCTCAAAAAATATCTGAAAATATTGTAATTTCTCTTAGATTTACGTAGCTGTGCTTATGTAATTAATTAGCAGAGAAAACAAGGCCTACTATTTAATATCTTATTACAATAGCTTTTACAGCTCTCGCAAGTTCGTTTTAAGGAAAGGGTGTTGTTAAATTCACAATTAAATTTGTTATTCTTGCTGTTTATTTTTTGAAAATTATTATTATATAATAGGTAAATATATTTTATATTAAATATTTAAAATATTCAAAATTTAAATGTGTATAAAAGAAAAAATATTGATAAATATTTTAAATATTATTTGATATAAAATATATTTAATTATGATATACTAACAAAGATTGATGAAAGAAAGTGTAGGTAATTTAAAAAAAAAATGGTAGGAATACTAAATTTGATAATGATTTTAGCGATACCATTAAAAAAATATATAGTGATATAATAACTAACTTCATTGCAAATTTGAAATGAAATTTATAGATAACATCTTGTATAACTTCATTAAGAAAATGGCTTTTTGAAAGAAAAATTACGAGCCAGACAGCTGGCAAGTTAGATTTTCCTTCTACCGACAATCCCGAATTTGTCTATTCCTTTTCCGCGTACTGCATCTCTTGAGTATTTATGGGTTTAACCGCAAATTGTCTGTGTCCCCCCATTTTATCAAAAAAAAAAAAAAAAACACAAAAAGAAAGAAAGAAACTCCAGCACTTCCTCAGTTTCTCAGAAATTGCATTTCAAGATTCGCTGCGCTTTACGCTCGTAGCAAAGGAGGACGGAGGACGATTTTCCATTGTTATCTTTCAACAACGGAAAAAGAAGCCTTATTTGTCTTGTTCCTCAGATCTGGCATCTAACCGAATTTTAAATCAAGGGAAATAGAAATTTCCAGTTTAAGCGCATAGTTCAATTTCATGATGTTTTCCACACACACGTATATATCTGTGTGCGCGTGTGGTTATGATTGAAAAATTAATCTCTCTTTAAAGCCAACATATTAATAGATTTTTTATTCTTTAATCATTATAATTAAACTACATATAGGAAACCACATTTTTATTTGGGTTGACACGTAAATGATGCTCAGCTTTCGCATGGAGATTGACCCTACTGATACACAACAGGGAAAGACATACGCGGGAACAAAAATTTTGTGTTGATAATTAAGACAAATGCATGTTCTTAAAAAAGCTAACGAAGTGTTCATAAAAGTCTATTTTCATAAAAGTTCATTTTGATGTTTTGAAAATTTTAACAATTCATTTTTGTCCTTTCATTTTATTTTCATTACATTTTTAGTCTTTACTTACAAGTTTTTTTTTTTTGGCAATTAAGACCTATATGTAAACATTTGTTTTAATAAACTATAGATAAACCTGGTCAAACTTTAGTCAACTAAATAAAAAAATAAATTAGTGACAAATAGATAATAGAGAACATGAAAAGTAATGATTTTTGTCCAAGGCATTAAACAAGCTTGTTCTATCCCTTCGTCACGGGATAAGAATTTTGCTTTTAGAACAAGTTTAAACTTATCATGTTCAATTTATGTACTAAATATTTCACAACTCGTGTTATCTTGTTTAATACAGACATAAAATAATCCATAACTTTTTATATCATGTTCTATTTAATTGTGTCGAGCATATCAAATGTATCTTGAATGAGAATAAGATAGAAGAAAATAAAAGAATTGGCCTAGAAAGAGAGTGCATTTTCAGAGGCAATTTGAGTTTGGACTATAGTATTGTAAGTTGTTGTGGTGATGTTGTTGTCGACAAGAATAACTATTAAAATGATTAGATGTTTGTGTGAGTAGCATATTATAAGTACGTAGGTTTTAAAGAATTGACTTTTCTATTGTGATGGTAAACTATTTTAACCATGCAAGTAATATCTTGATGACTCATAAATCTTTCTGTTGACTGATTTTCTAATTTTTTTTACACCATAAAATGCACATATATAATATTTTTCACAAAACAAACGCAACTTCTATATCTCTAGCATTTAGCCATCTACTAACATATTCATTTTGTTTCTAGATGCTGCTCAAAGGGATTGTTTTAGATTCTCTGTACACTTTATTTTAAAAAAGAAAAAGTCGCTTGACTTTTAGTACATTAGAGATTGTTATGGTCTCATTTACATACTAATTACTATATTTTCAATGCCATATGCATCCTTTATTTTAAATTTTTTAAAAAAATCTAAATAATCATCGTATAATCTCGTAAAAAAAAATGCACAATTTGCTCACACATATATGTGTATATATTCAGAAAAAACAAGTTACAAATTACATATACATATTTATTTTCCTTCTACGTAATATTATTAATCATACAGTTGCGATGAGATGATGACATGAGAGAAAGAAGTGAACTTTATTCCAGGATCAGCATATTAGAAAAGCCCATAACAATCTTGACCAACAAAACAGCCCACATATTTTTTAGTTTCATGTCCAGCCCAGACATAGAATACCTGTTAAAAGCCCAGTTCTCTCACACAATTGTTTTCTCATTTTGAACCACGGAACGAGAGAAGAGTCTACGACCTAAAAGAATCTGCGTTCCTAAAACAGACGCCCAGGTCGGGGAGTCCACTTTCGCGTTCTCAAAATCCTCAATCTTGCTCGGTTTCTTTTTATCACTGCTATTCTCTTTTAGAGGTAAAGTGATTAATTTTAATTTCATTATTCTCCTAGAAACAAAAATTAAATTTTGGGTTATTATTTTGTTAATTTTTCAGGTAATTATCCATTTCTAATTCAATTTATCAAACCCTAAAAAATGGGCAAGAACGATTTCCTCACACCGAAAGCGATCGCAAACCGAATCAAAGCGAAAGGTCTTCAAAAACTTCGATGGTACTGTCAAATGTGTCAAAAACAATGTCGAGACGAGAACGGATTCAAGTGCCACTGTATGAGCGAAAGCCACCAACGCCAAATGGAAGTCTTCGGTCAAAACCCGAACAGAATCATCGATGGCTACTCTGAAGAATTCGAAAGCACTTTCCTTGATATGATGAAACGGAGCCATAGGTTTTCTCGTGTTGCGGCGACTGTGGTTTATAATGAGTATATTCACGATAGGCATCATGTTCACATGAATTCGACGCAGTGGGCAACTTTAACGGAATTTGTTAAGTATTTGGGGAAAACTGGGAAGTGTAAAGTTGACGAGACGCCGAAAGGGTGGTTTATTACTTATATTGATAGGGATTCGGAGACGATTTTTAAGGAGAATATGAAGAATAAGAGAGTTCGAGCGGATTTAGCTGACGAGGAGAAGCAGGAGAGAGAAATTAAGAAGCAGATTGAGAAGGCCGAAGAGTTGTTGACTGTTAAAAGTGACGGTGTGGAGAGTGGTGAAGTGCCGCTAGCCAAGGAATTGAAATTGGACAGTGGTGTGAAGGTTGGATTCGCGCTTGGTTCGAAGAGTAATAATGTTGGGAAAGAGAGAGGGGAGACTTCTAGTTCTAGATTGGTTTTCGAGGAAGTTGAGGATAAGGAGAGGAAGATGGGAAAGAATAAGGAAAGTGGTAATGGAGGTAAAAATGGGAAATCAGCACTGGAGGAGCTTATGAAAGAGGAAGAGAAGGCCAAGGAGAGGAGTAATAGGAAGGATTATTGGTTGTTTGAAGGGATTATTGTTAAGGTTATGAGTAAGGCGTTGGCAGAGAAAGGATATTATAAGCAGAAAGGGGTAGTGAGGAAAGTGATTGATAAGTATGTTGCCGAAATTGAGATGCTTGAGAGTAAGCATAAGTTGAGGGTTGATCAGGAAGAGCTCGAGACTGTGATCCCGCAGATTGGGGGATTGGTGAAAATAGTGAATGGGGCTTATAGAGGTTCCAATGCCAGATTGTTGGGAGTGGATACAGAGAAGTTTTGTGCCAAGGTGCAGATAGAGAAGGGAATTTATGATGGGAGAGTGCTCAAGTCTGTTGAATACGAGGATATTTGCAAATTTGCCTAGTGAGTTTTGTTCAAAATTTTAGTTCTATTGTAGAATTGCTCTTGTTGTTTTGGATTTATTGATCTTGTGGAATATGGGATGTATCTTTCCATGATTAATTAATGACCCTGGAAAGTTGTTTCTTGAGTAGTCCTGTTCATCTGCAAGCTTTTCCTTATTGTTCACATTCTCCCCGAACCCAACTTTACTTGATTTCTTTATGGCTATGTGCCTCTACTGCCATTACTATATCAGTTTGAGATCTTAATGTAAAAGTTCCCAATGAAGCTTCTGTTTTTCTGCTGTTCTGAATATTGCAGAGAATTGTTTAAAATTTAAAGTTTGTGCTTTCCATACAGCTTTACTTGAATTTGGTCTCTTTCATTTGATCTCCAAAATGGAGAGAGGTCATCAAAAGAGTTCTCCCTGTTTTTCACAGTGCCCCGTAGATGATTCCAAGCATCAGGCAGCCATGTGCTTTGATTGCCTAGTTCATCTGTTTTAAGCGATCTCATTCATTCCCTTTTAAGTTTAGAGGCCTGATGGATGCCATCCTTTTTTTTTTTTTTTTTTTTTAGGCAAATGTAGAACATGGATGTCTTGATTATAACAACATTAATCGTTCCACTCTTGATGCTTAGCTTCCAATTGGAAGGTGAGAAATTAGGTCTTCACGCCCAGAAACTCCTTCCTTTTTGTTCTGAATCTCATCCTTATGATTTAAGTTCTTAGATTGACAGCATTGTACAAGCGTGAGAAAAAAGTTGAGTGCTCAACAACTATTATGAACTGCAAATTTGGAACCACCTTTTTATTTATTGTCTCATATGCTTACCATTCATAATCAAAAGAATGTGATTTTTGTTCAGTCATTATATGGTTCTAAGTATATTATGCCCAGGAAGGGGAAATTGCAATACAAATGCATATGGGAAACTACACATGCTCCAATACTGGGTTCTACTGCTGGGATTGAAATATTTAAAGATCTAGTGAATGAACACTGATCCCTCGGCTTCTCTAAACTTGAACAAAAAGTGGGTAATTGCGGTTGGAGAAATTGATGAGTGAGAAAGAGAAGGCTTAGGAGAGGAGTAAGTGGAAGGACTGTTAGTTGTGTGAAGATATTGTTGCCAAGGTGATGAGATGGGCAGCAGAATGGTACTATAAGCAGATAGTGGTAGTGATGGAAATGTACATGATTGAAGCTGTAAATTAGGTAGAACTTGATTTGTGGTTCTGTGATTGGGGAGAGGGTCCAGTGCGAGGTTGCTTGTAGTGAATGCAGATAAGTTTTGTGCCAATTTGCAGATAGAGAAGGGGGTTTTATGATGGGAGAGTGCTCAAGACACAGCATGAGGGTGTATGCAGACTTGGGTATTGAGTTTTATGCATATTTTACTTTTGTGGTTGCATTGGCTTTCTAGGATTGTTCCTTGTAATTTTATATGTGATTCTTAGTTTATGGTTTTCTGTCTCTCCAGATTTGATGACGACTCAGAAGCATGTCTATCATGGAAAACAAGTCATATATACTTGTATTATCACCATATTAAATTTGCATGAAGGATGATAACTTGATCTTTCCGAATTATCCGTAATTGGAAATCTTTGTCGAGTATGCTTATCGATTGATTTCTAACACATTGACCTCAATAATTTTGATACTTGGCTGACAGACATGTATTTCTACTATTTCCCACTAGTCAGGTTGCTAAGTAGTAGTTTTTGATGGAAAAAGCAGGAGAAATAAAGGAAGTGGTGAATCTTCTGAAGGTTTTGCCATTTTACATGGATCATAAAGCAACAGCTGAGAATGATATCCTAAAGAAACATAATCCAAAAAAGAAAAGGAAGGGACAGTTTTCTCTAGGTTTTCCCTGTAAATTGCGTAGACTGTTACTCACTATTGGAAACTATTCATTTAAGAAACTAAAGCAATGTCATTTATGTTCCTTTTTATCTTTGATCTTCTTTTGGTTTCCAGACACAGACTGTGAAGGGGGAGCTTGTTAGAGGTGGGAGACGTCACCCTTGCGATCGTGCAGTGGAAGATCATACTTGAAATCCTGTTCAACTCATCTTTCCTTCTCCAACTTTGGTCCTGGGATTGTGAAATTGGCTACTGGGTAGAGAAATACCTCTCAGAAATTTCTATGGTAACAAATAGTAATTTCATATGAATATCCTTGTGTTAGGCCATATTTCAACTTGTTGAATTATCATCCTTGCAGGTTTTAGCTGTTCTGGCTTGATATGTTATGCTTGAAAATCACTACTAATTGTTATGTATAAACATTTCATAGTTAGAGCAATTGCTAATCATTCATTGCAGATTGACTGGTGTAATGTTATAAATTTGTGAAAAATGCCTTTATTTTTAGAATAGTGCTAGAGATACTAAAAGTTTCTTATCAACTATTTTACTAAATGATGTGGCAATTGTGACAGTGCATGTCATTCAATGATAATTAGTACCCGTTGATTGTTAATATCCAACCCACCATGATCTAAAAAACCTTCCCAAAAGAAGTGCCGGACCAGTTAGTATTAAGATCTAGTAAAAAAAATGTGTGTATCCCTAGCATTGCTCTTATTTTTATTCTTGTTTCTATTGGTTTACAGATATTCCTAAGTTTTACTGGGAATCCTACATAAAATCATTGTAGTATGTTGGCCATATAGCACATTATGGGTGAAACTTTCCAGTAGTTCAGGATATTCACACATTCTTAAGCACATGATTTATTGTGGATTTCTCATTTATGAATGCCCCTTGCAACTGATGAGAGGTACCGGCATGGATTTCTTATCTATTAATGCCCCTTGCCACTGATGAGAGGTAACAGAATGAAAACAGTGATGAAGTGGATTTCATATACTCTCCAGTTAAGCTGGACCTGTTGCTCAAAATGCTGAATTCTTGGAGTGGTGAAGGAAATAATATAGCATCTGCTTCATATTTGTGTATTTGTTGTAATTTTGGTTGCGCCACCAAGTGTTTGGAAAAGGAATTACAGCTGCTGCTTCATATTGTGTATTTACCATTAATGCCCAAGATTTTAGCAACTCTTGGTTTTCCCTTTCCTACAATTTGTACATAGAAGTGCAAAGGAAAAGGTTTTTGCTCCTCAACGTGATATGATCTGGCTTGTGTCTGCAATCTGATTTGATTTAGAGTTGATCTGTGAAAAGGAAATAGCTCTTATCTCGTGGTTGAGCATCTAATGTATTTTTCTTACTTCGCTGCTGGAGAGAGTTTGTTATTAGGAGAACATTTAACAAACGTGTAAAGAAATGCATGTCATCATTCTGACGCCCAAGCTCTATTGCTACGATTAAATGAAGTTGGTTACTAGTCACTTTTTTTAATAAATTATAAATTATTCTTTCAAGTTTTGTTAAACAAATTAATCAGTCCTTTTTTGAAAAATCTAAATATTTAGTATCTATATTTTAAAATTTTTTGTAACTTAATTTTTTTATTCTTTGCAATTTATTTTAATTTTGTTTTAAAAAATAGAAAAAGTAAAAAAAATATAGAAGAGTTGAAAAGATGATTTTTTTTTTTTGCAATAATTTAATATGAAATTAAGTGTGGTTAACATTAATCAAGAGATTAAAAAATTAGTTTTTTAAAATAAAAAACTAATTAATTCATTTCTTGTAACTAGAGAGACTAATTTATCATTTACTTTTTTTTAAACCCATAGTCACAGCTCACTTGCATTAATTAAGTAATTGGGAAAACCACTTCAAATGCTTGTTTGTGTTAACAGTGGCCAAGGGCCGCCACATCATCATTAATACCTATGGCAGGACATGAAGTTTGTATGACAAGAACTGCCCTGCATCGAGGAAAATAGGAATTAAGTAAAGAAATAAGCAGGACATGAAGTTTCTGTGACCAGAACTGCCCTGCCATCGCGGAAAATAGGATTTAAGAAAAGAGCTAAGTGGCCGGACACGACAATTCTTAAGGAACAAAACAAGTATACATATGTAATGGTTAATACAAAGATAAACTAACCAAATTTGAAAAAGAAAAAATAAAACAGAATAATTTTGGTCTTTTAACTGTTATTATCATCTTTCTTTAAGAAAACAAGATGTAGATACAAAAACATGCGTGGTCCCTTGAGTTCTAACACTTTCTCAAACTAATCCCTAGAATTCCGTTTTGGTCAACCATGTCTCTTGCTTCCAATTTCTTCATCCAATTCGTGCCCCTTACCTGGCTGTTGAGTGTATATAATTGGGTGAAGTCATTGATCAATTGAAAGGAAAGGATTTAAATTAACCAAAAATAAAACAAAGTACTTCGTTTGACCAAATGTTGACACTTGAGGGATAAACAATAAGCAAATCCTTTCGCTCTCTCTCTCTCTCTCTCTTTTTTTTAAATCAGAAACAAATTCCTTCTTAGTTCTCAGCATCTTTGAGTTGAATACGAAAAGAAAAGTGTGTTTTAGAAAAATTTGTTGAACAAATTTATAATAAAATCCACCGTCGGATTACTCAGAAGCTGAGATGGCAAGATAAAAAACGTTCAACCCTGGCCCACAATCAATATACCCCAACGATAATCTACTTACTGATAGGAACCTACATGCACCATCAATTAAGGAGGGTGTGCGGTTCATCAATCCACATGGTTCGCTCTCCTACCCCAACCGCACGCCTTTAATACCCAAGTGCTTGTATAGGCTGCCATTTCTATATTTATTATACGGAGAGATCGAAGTTCCAAATCCCATTTGGAGCTTCAGTTCTGAGCTTCTTGTTCCGTCTGAATTTTGAACAGAATCCTTTGAAATTTAACGGGTTTGCTTTTTTTGACATTTGGTGAATTGGGTCTCTCTATTTCATCTCCAAAATGAAGGTGTCTATAGTTTCTCGCAGTGGCAGAGAGGTCATTAAAGGAGGCCTTGAGCTTAGTGATTCGGTATGCTCATTACACATTTTTCTGTCTTGTATTTATTATTAATATGTTTGGTTGATAGGAAATGAGGGAAAAGAATTGTGGGTTTTGATTTGTAAGTTTGAATCTTTTGGTTGTTTTATAGGCGACAGTGGCTGATCTGCAAGAGGCTATTCATAGGCGAAGTAAGTTGTTTATTTTACTCTCATTATGTAAAAAGATTGAAACTTTGGTGTTCAATTACTTCGGGATCTTAGTATAGTTTGAGTTTGAATTGGAGATGAAAAGAAGACTCTTTGCTATAATTTAATCTACAAATTTTGATTAGATAGGAAATCCAACTGATTTCAAAGTCTTCCCTCTCTCTTTCTTTGATTTCATGTATTGGGTATTGTTTGTTGGCAGAAGAGAATGAATTGTGATGCATTCTTTTAGATTTTTGTTCCTTCATTGCGATTTTTGGAATTGGCATGCTGCTTCTTTCTGCTTTATGGTGGTGTTTGAGTTTGTAGATTTGCTTAGGGTGCGAATATATGTTCTTTCTAACTGTAACTTATCAAATATATGAACTTCATAGCTGAAAAACTAGACCCATGGCAGAATATGCATGTTGCCTTGTTTTTTTCACTGTAACTAGTGCTGTTGAAATTGTTATTCTTACCCTTGGTTTTGTCATTAATATGGTGATTGTATTTGAAGAAGATTATATTGTTGGATTTGAGTTTGCTTAATTACTTATTTACTTTCTTTGTACGGTAGGCTCACCTCTCATTTTTATTCTTTAAATCATCACATTATGCTGGGTTTTATATCGAGCAGTTTCTTTCATGCTAACAGATTCTGAAAGTTATTTGATTTCATGTTTTATACATTATTGAGATGAAACTCACAAGATCAGAGTTGCAAATATTTTTTTTGGTTGGCTTGGGTGGTGGTAATGGTTGCAAATACATAATTTGTAGGTGGTCTTTAAAATTGAGAATAAGGGATCTACAAAGCATGAGATTAGCTCTGAACTTTGACCTTTTTGTTGACAAATTTCAAACTTATGTCCATCTTCACCTTTTACACCGGCCCCTACTTTCCTTCCCAAGGATCCGTAAGTAAATAAGGAGGTGTGTAGTTGGAGCATCAGATGCAATTTTATTTCAATAACCTTTCTTCATGTCTTTCATCAACAGCCAAAAAATTCTATCCTTCAAGACAGCGGCTGACCCTACCTCTTCCACCGGGATCAAAGGAAAGGCCCATTGTCCTCAACTACAAGAAGAACCTCAAAGAATACTGTGATGGGAATTTGGACAACTTAACTGTTGTTTTTAAGGACCTGGGTCCACAAGTTTCGTACCGCACACTCTTTTTCTGTGAATACTTGGGTCCTTTGGTGCTCTATCCCGTTTTTTACTACTTCCCAGTCTACAAGTTTTTTGGCTACAAGGGGGAGCGCATCATCCACCCAGTTCAGACATATGCATTGTACTACTGGTGCTTCCACTATTTCAAACGCATTATGGAAACATTTTTTGTGCACCGATTTAGCCATGCAACGTCACCGCTCTCCAACGTGTTTCGGAATTGTGCTTATTATTGGACCTTTGGTTCCTATATTGCTTACTACGTGAACCATCCACTTTACACCCCTGTTAGTGATCTTCAAATGAAGATTGGATTTGGATTTGGTTTGGTTTGTCAACTTGCAAACTTTTATTGCCATATGTTGCTGAGGAATCTTCGCCGTCCAGATGGGAATGGCGGCTATCAAATCCCAAGTGGGTTTCTCTTCAATATCGTGACATGTGCAAACTACACAACGGAGATTTATCAGTGGTTAGGTTTCAACACTGCAACTCAGACTGTTGCAGGCTACGTTTTTCTTGTGGTTGCGACTTCCATCATGACCAATTGGGCCCTTGCAAAGCATCGGAGATTGAAGAAGGTAACTTTCGTTAATTTTGGTTGACTAGCAGCTTCATATATGTTCATTTTCTACATAAGAGTTGAAAATTGTAAATATTGCCCTGCACATAAGCCAACCTGGGTTGATGTGGCAGTTAGATCTTACATCTGTATATAAGATGGTTTGATACAGACAATATCAGGTCACTAGCTTCTGGAATGCATATATAATCACACATATAATGTGCAACTGTAAATACATGCATATCTTTTTAGATATGTATTGTTGGTGGGCCTGCATGCAGTTTTGGATTGGAGGCCTATCAGAATTGAGTTGGATTTAACTGATTCAAATTTTCAGATTCTATTTCATTTATCAAGATAAGGCGTTCACAAGTTGCTGGTTTTTTTTTTCTTTTTTTAATCAGATCTGCATCATAATGTTTTGTCTTTCCCTGGAAAATTTACTTTGTCTTCATATTACTGGAGGATAATGATGTAATGGAAAGGCAAATTTATCCATCTAGAGTAGATAGTTGTAAGTGAAAATCTCGACATGAAGAAAGCACATGCACAGCATCAACCTGTTTTCTGCTTCCTTACACTTCTTATTGTCTTGGCATGGTTTTACGTTATTGATCAACCCATCTCAAAACAACTATATAAAAGAGTGGGTTTCCTCTCGTTCCTATTTTTGGCTTTCATTTTTTGTTGCTTACATCCCATGTTGCCCTCTGCAGCTATTTGATGGAAAGGATGGAAGACCTAAATATCCACGCCGATGGGTTATACTACCCCCATTCCTGTAGAATAACTGGTATCTCAGCTGCTAGTCATCATCCGATTCTTTGTCGGGAATCTCTTATGCTGGCGCCCTTTCCAATCGAAAGTAGAGTACAAGTTACCATTCAATTCCGGAAGATCTTAGTCTTTTATTGTAGACCTCATATATTAATGGAAACTTAGCAATGATGATACTTCTCCCTTCAAACCGTTATTGCTTGTCCTTTTGGAATAGTTTTCTGAATCGTATTGGTTTAGCTGATTTATTGAAAAATTTGGCTTCGTTATGATGTGTGGTATTTCTTCCGTTCTTTTCTTTCCGTTTGAAGTTGATGTATTATTCCATGGATCTTGCTTCTACAAACTCATGGCTAAAGTTTTCAACTTGCAAGTTGGGTTAGGATAAATGATAATTTTACACACTGACCATTGCTAGGCATCTCGTTATAAAACCTAACTTCGTGGCTTTAATGTAAATTTGGAACCATTGAACTACTGTTTATTGAGCACAAACTTTCAAAGCATGTATGGTATTGCCCTGACCATGGAGGGCTAGTGTCCTTTCCTGCTTTTTATGCCAATTAAGGCCATAGCATGACTTTTGGGTGAAAATCCATTATCCAGGTCACATTAGAACTTGTTCTGTGACAAGAAATGTTACCTGCCAACCTCCTTGCAGCCTGCAAAAAGGATATGGGGTCAGTTTATATGCAGAGGTTTTTATGAAGGATACGCCAGTGTAGAAGATGAGATTTATTTTACCAAGAGGAGGCCATTCTAATGCTGCTGCGTCAGTCCATGAGAAAAAACACAAATTGCAGCGCAGAAACCACATCTTTTGATTGCAAGTTCATTCGATCCTTAGAGATTGTATTTGGATTAGTCAGTGTTTATTTAAAGCTTAGAGGTCTGGCGGATATAGCTGCCCGCCTATGTTGACAAACTATGGAAGTTCTAGGAATGGTTTCATTAGGGAGAATAAACAATCAACCCTTGGTGACAGCCCAGAAAGCCATGTGCTTCGCTGCAGAATTCAACAATGCTAGTCACATTTTTCGTAGGCAGCTGCTATAATTGCCCCACGACCTTCTCAGAACCTTAGATGGTGCTGTCCTCGCCCTGGTTCCTTAAAGATCAATTGCAATTCATACCTTGCAGAATGGAACTCTTAAGGCTGGAATTGAGATTGTTTGCAGAAATCATCGGGGCCACATTATAGATGGGAAGGGGTTCACCATTCGAATCTTGTCTGTTGCACCAGGCAAAGCGAAGGCTATCAGGGAGGCCCTGCATTTTGCTGCGAACTTCAGTTCTTGCCCTATCACCATTGAATCCGATGCTGCTGCTGTCGTGTCAGCCATCAAGGATTCTAATCCCGTTCCGGATTGGGAGATTGTTCCGGTTATGGCAGATATCAAGCATTTGTGTCCTCCATGGTTAGTGTTTCTGCATGCTTAGTGAACAGGATATCAAATCGAGTTGCTGACTGGGTTGCCAAGTCGGTTAGACATGGCACTCTGCCTGTAGGTTGGATGCTAAAACCACCCTACTGGACTTCGCAGCGTGCTTGTATCTGATGTTATTGTTCCGAAAGCCTTCGTTCAGAGAGAGAGAGAGAGAGAGAGAGAGAGAGAGAGAGAGATATGATCATTGATACTTTTCATACGTGGGACAATGGTTTCTAGATCTATAACCAAATCATCATTATCATCGGTGACATTCTAATGCTTATACAGTATCCATTTGGCTGGGAGGGAAATTAGGTGTTTACACTCGAGAGAGTCAGAGGTTTCAGCCTTTTTTTTTTTGCTTTCCAAAATGCACCCACCCTTGCGATCCCAATGGTGCAGCATTGTCCAATTAAAAGAGAATGGGTCCGAGCTATTGAAGCGCAATCCAACTATAATGTGCTGGAAAAGGTTGCTCCAGCTAGTTTGGAACGGCCATTTTAGCAAAAAGTAAACGCCAGACTACATTATTTATCCAACTCTAATATTCTATTCTTTCATACTTTGCCGTTTCATAATCAATAGAAAGTTCCTACCCTTTTTACTCATGAATGGAAAAGTTGTGAATTGTAATAGTTATGCACATGTGCAACTCTAACATGCTTAAATAGTGGGCTGTACTGATGGGATTAAAAAAAAAAAAAAAAAAAAAAAACTTAAAAATGAGTAGATGGATTAGCACTAATCTATCACCTCGTTTGAAAAATACACAAAGCAATTCTTTTCATATTATTGTACTCATCTTCTTAAGACTATATATATAAACATATTATTTTCCACGGAAATTGAGCAATCTCACTAGAGTTCAATTTCTAATCTTATCATCTAAAAGATAAAAAGGAATATATACTTCTAAAATAGAAAGAGATATTTTTACAGCATGTTATCACTATAAAAAATTTGGAAAAAAAAAAAAAAGGAAAAAAGAAAGTCTACTACAGGTAAGAAGCGAAAAAAAGAGGGGCTAAAACAGAGAAGACAGGAAGGAGGAAGTAAAAGAAAATGACTGGAAAACCGGATGGAGCTGGATCCAGCAAGAAATAATAACCCCAGATAGGAATAGGCTTGGAAAGATAAAAAGAAGAGCGCATGACGCGTTCTTCTCTGTAAGTTGTGCCCACAAAATAAAAATAAAACAATCCAACGGCCCACAACGCATCTCGCGTTCCATATATTGAGCTTCCTCCTCTCTCTTTCAAAAGAGAAGGCTAGGCTACCCACATCAAAAACATTTTATTTTGTTTGTGTGCTGTGCGTCGTCTCGCTCTCTCTCTCTCTCTCAAAATCCCTCCTCCTTTAACAAGGTCCGTTTCTTCCTTTCTCCTCTTTTCCGATTAGTCTCTATTCTGTCTTCTCGATCTGCAGTATAGTAGCCTGGATCCGTTTTGTCAGTAATTCTGCATTTGCTTGATAAGGTTGGGATCTTGTAATGTAATGTATGTGCGATCATGCGGAGAAATATTTTTTTTTCTGAATTTTTTGTCTGGTAATTTTGATTTATTTTTAATTCTGTTTGGATCTGATCTTGTGTTCATTTTGCATTTTTTTCTTTATGTAAAATCTTAAGGAAATTTAGGAAATTAACATTGAATAACGTGAAACATATTGGAATCATAGTATTGCAAATGCTTTGCGAGATATACCTGCTCTCTGTCGTCATTGTTTGCAGATTTTCATTGTGCATCCAATGCATTTCGATTTGCATGCGATATATTTGTTCATTTCCTTTTTCCTAATTGATTTTTTTTTTAATTCTAAATATTTGCTTCGTTTTTCAAGAGACAGAAACACGACGGTGTATTTGCCATTTCATTTTCAATTTTTTCCAATATTAAGTATTCAGCTTTGCAGATTTTGTGTTTTGTGTAATAAGATATGAATCTATAATGAATGTGATGTGGTACATTGATTTGCAATGATGTTTTTATTTTCTTTTTCTTTTTTTTTTAACTGATGCATGTGAAAAAATTCACTTTTTTGTTTGTGTTATTTTTTTTTCAATAGTTTATTCTGTGCTTCGTTTGCTTCACTTCCTTCGATTTTGGCTTGTAAGTTTAATAAAAAGACATCTACATGTTTGTAGATGATTCTGATGATGTTCAAGGAGAGAAAATGAAGTGGTGATGATTTTGCTTTGCTTGATGAAAGATTTCCATACCTTTCTTGTTGGTGATAACTGTTTGGTATTGTAGGCAGTAGAAGATGGCAGATGCCGAGGATATTCAACCACTTGTTTGCGACAATGGAACTGGAATGGTCAAGGTGTGTAATTCTGACTTTATTGTGTTTGTAGGAACCATAAGTTTGGCAGAGATTGCTTGGAACTTTGTTCTGAGCATGTTTTAGAAAATAAGCACCAGGTTTTTGAAAATTTCGGTAAACTTCTCTCTAATGTTACTTGCCTCGAATAGGAAGATGTTTTCCTAAATTGCTTGCAAATGTATTGAGAACTTATGGTAGTTTTTTCTGTTGTTAAGAAGAAATCCTCTTTCTGGAAACTGCTTTAAACAGATTTATTTTTGTAAACTTTCTGCTTTGCTTATTTTTGTGTATTGCTTCTGGTAGAACTGACTGCAGTATTTTCTTTTAGGCTGGATTCGCTGGAGATGATGCTCCACGAGCTGTGTTTCCGAGTATTGTTGGTCGTCCTCGTCACACTGGTGTGATGGTTGGCATGGGCCAGAAAGATGCATATGTTGGTGATGAGGCTCAGTCCAAGAGAGGTATCTTGACTTTGAAATATCCAATTGAGCACGGTATTGTGAGCAACTGGGATGACATGGAAAAGATCTGGCATCATACCTTTTACAATGAGCTTCGTGTTGCTCCAGAAGAGCACCCAGTGCTCTTAACTGAGGCTCCTCTGAATCCCAAGGCAAATCGTGAGAAGATGACTCAGATCATGTTTGAGACCTTCAATACTCCTGCTATGTATGTCGCCATTCAGGCTGTTTTGTCCTTGTATGCCAGTGGTCGTACAACTGGTAAGGGGTTAAATGATTTGATTGATACTTTGAGGGTTTAAATTGAAAACAGATTATTTTGTGCCAAATGCGCCAATACAGATTATTTTGAAGATGGCTAATGTGTTGTTTAGGTGGATGCATATTCCATCTTTATAGATTTATGTACAGTGTTCGCCTTGCTATTGTGTTTCCTTTTGTTTTAGAGGTATTGTTGTTTTCCATTTATTTTTATTTGCGTGGTCAATTTCTTTTCAAAACTTGAACTTGTTGGTCCCATGTCTTCTTTTAAAGGCACATTTTTTGTTGTATGATACCATATTTAGTGATTGTGCTTTTGCTGTGCAGGAATTGTGTTGGACTCTGGTGATGGTGTCAGCCATACAGTTCCCATATACGAGGGGTATGCCCTTCCACATGCCATCCTCCGTCTTGACTTGGCTGGTCGTGATCTCACTGATTCCTTGATGAAGATTCTCACTGAGCGTGGTTATTCTTTCACAACCACAGCCGAACGGGAAATTGTGAGGGACATGAAGGAAAAGTTAGCTTACATTGCTCTTGACTATGAGCAGGAACTAGAGACATCCAAAACCAGCTCAGCAGTTGAGAAGAGCTATGAGTTGCCTGATGGGCAGGTCATCACCATTGGTGCTGAGAGATTCCGTTGCCCAGAGGTCCTCTTCCAACCATCAATGATCGGAATGGAAGCTGCAGGCATCCATGAGACCACATACAACTCCATCATGAAGTGTGATGTCGATATCAGGAAAGACTTGTATGGTAACATCGTTCTCAGTGGTGGTTCAACTATGTTCCCAGGAATTGCTGACAGAATGAGTAAGGAAATCTCTGCACTAGCCCCAAGCAGCATGAAAATCAAGGTGGTCGCACCACCAGAAAGGAAATACAGTGTCTGGATTGGCGGCTCTATCTTGGCATCCCTTAGCACCTTCCAGCAGGTTAGTTGAAATCTACGTTCATGAATGGTTCCTGCTAGAAGCTTACTTTGACATTGATTTTTGACTCTTGCTTGTTTCTTTGCGTGCAGATGTGGATTGCAAAGGCTGAGTACGACGAGTCTGGGCCGTCAATCGTGCATCGGAAATGCTTCTAAATGCTTGAAGCATGGGATTGTTGAAGAAATAGAAAAAGACTTCTTTATTTATCGGAAAGAAGTAGTGCAGCTTGCCACCCTTTTCATTCTAGCTTTGTTATCCATCTATGTTTATTCTCATGTTGGAGTGATGATTTTGAGAAGGCGAGGAGTTGATTGCCAGAATGGTCCAATTCTTTCATTATTAATATTCCGAGATGTTTTGACTGTTAATTTCACCCTAAATCCCTTAATTTGTTTATGGGCTTGTGGGACTTCCTTGCCTAATTGGCGTTGCTATTTGAGTCAATCACAACAATATTTCATGTCTGTAAGCAACATGGAACTGCATCCTGATTAATAGCTTGGCATCAATAGCAGGCCCAATGGCCTTGTAAGGAGATAATGATGATTGGTATTATGATTGCATGTATGATTTGGCTGGAGAAGATATCGACAGGTTTCCTCAAATGCTCTTTAAGATATTGAAAGATGGCAACTAAACATACTATTCTAACTATTACGTGTCGAGAAAAGGAGAGAACTAAAAATCATTAGCACACACTTCTTTAGTGCTAGGGTAATTGGGCTGTGCGCAAGTAAGATGCAAGTTTTAGTTGATTCAACTTGAATTTCTTTGCACTTTTTTCACCAGTATCCTTTGAAGTGTAAATGGGATTAAAAATAGAGTTCTAACTGATGGGTAGGAGTGAGCAAATGGTTAAATGGTTCGGTTTTGTATAATTTGATGCAGTTTTCGGTTAATCGAATTAAAAAAAATAAAAACCGAAACCGAACCAAAATGAGTTTGATAAATTCGGTTTGAAACTGAATTATTTTGGTTCGGTTTTATAAAATTTTGATTTTAACTAAAATATTTTTATTGTAAAAAACAATTCGTTCTTCCGTCGATTCTGCCTAACATAAATAACAAGAATTAACATTAAACTCAATGGATCTCCATGTGAGAGAAAAAATGTTTCCATCAAATGTCTACATGGAAATAATAAGACAGAAGCTTCATTAATCTTGCAAGCTATGCAAGTCATCTGCTTTTTCAAGGAGACTGAATTTGCAGAACCATCCACGAGGCAGATGTGGTTTTGGTTAGCATAAGAGGTTGCAATATCGGCCTCATTGTCCCCATAACCTTCCTTGCCATGCAGTGCACCTTGTGCCATCACCTGCTTCAGATTGATCTTCAGAGCATTAACTACAAACTCATTATATTTTGCTCTGCTGTGCCAGGACTGGACTTCCATGCTAACTTGCTTTATTCTCTCTATTAGATCCTTGTTCTTTCGGTTTATGTTCTGTATTTCAAGTTCCTTGTCATGTGGCTTGCTGCTAATTTCTTTTTCTATGGCATTCAACAATGAAACTGTATGTCTTTGCCCCAATTATGTCAGACCTTTTATGATATTTTCTTCCTGCAACATACAAGTGATATTATATATTGTCTGCTGCAACCATGCCTCGTAAATCTCAGGTGCCAATTGTATGCCCCCTGTTGCATATGCTATGGAATATTATTCATTCCATCCTTCATCTCATAAAGAATTACTTCTTAACATAATTCCCTCAGATTTTTTATATGATGATAAATTCTATCAAAATTTAAATCCATTGTCCCACCCATCGTCACACTAGAACTCAAGGAAGGAAAAGAATATGCTACCCTAATACCATGGTATTAAAATCAACCAGCACAACCATCTAAATTCTAAACCCTATCATTCAACAATAACTTCAACCGCAATGCCTCAATTAATATACAACTAGAAATCCAATCACCAGTTTTTTCGGGATAAAAGCTAGTATTTAGCTATTGAGTCGTCATCACAAAAACATATCACTCTCACAAGCAATCGCAATAACAACAACTCACAAAACCATTAAGTATTTGATTGCTTGCCACGTGTTTGTTAATTTATTTGGTTAAAAAACCAGCAACAACATCGCCCAAATTAGGACAAACCAATAAGCAACAAGCGAGGGCAAAGGATTAAAGATATTTAAAACAAAAAGTTAAAGAACATATTTAAAACAAAGAATCAAAGAGAAAATTAAGGGAAATGATTGTTTTAACTATAAACCAAAAATCGGTTCCTATATATTCAAAAATGAACACGAGTGTATAAGGCTAGCTAGCTTAATTAGCAAAACAAAACCATGAAAACATTCAATCCAAATTACATGGGTATTTAAATGGGAAAAAAAAGAAGTAAAAGAGACTAATCTTGGGAGAGCTCGCGAGTAGAGGAAGAGTAGGCGAGTAGGAGGAGGAGGGTGGTGAGCGATGAGGGATGATCGATGATGTGAGATCGGAGGAAGATGATAGAGAGGTGGGTGGTGACTGGTGAGATTGGAGGAAGAATGGAGGAGGATAGAGAGCCGGAGAGGTGGGTGGTGACCGGTGAGATTGGAGGAAGAATGGAGGAGGATAGAGAGCCGGAGAGGTGGGTGGTGACTGGTGAGATTGGAGGAAGAATGGAGGAGGATAGAGAGCCGGAGAGGTGGGTGGTGAGCGGTGAGATTAGAAGAGGGCTGGAGGAGGACATATTGCCGAGAAAAGACCGTGAGAAGAAGGGAATGAAGGCCGAAGAGGGTGGTTGAAATTTTTTGATTTAGTGAAACTATGACGGTGAAGCTACGTTGCCAATCTTAGGGTTAGTGATTTAGATTAGGAAGTTTTTTAGCTACGAATTTCGGTTTTCGATTGAAACCAAATTTTTTTTTCAAAATCGAACTAAACCGAAATGATTTTGGTTTTTCAATTCGGTTTTATTCGGTTTTTGATTGATCGAACTGTTTACACACCCCTACCGATGGGGCCAAAGGGCAAGAATTCGAAAAGTAAGCGCCAACTCCTAAGGTTAGTAACCTTGTGAAAATCTATTTATTTTTTTCAAAAATATTACTTTTGGGATTCGGTTCGATCGATGAGTGTCAAAGAATTAAATTCCGTTTAATGCATGACTAACTAATGTATTCTTGATATTATCAAAAGGGATGGGCTAAAACCAATTCATGTTAAAACTTCATATAGACATAAGGTTTGGACAATGGATGCTCTTAGAGTAATTGGTTAAATCATAAATGATGTAATAATAATATAATTTTAAATTTCAAACTTTTCATCTTATCTCATCACAAATCCAATGGTTTTTTAATGGTGATTAAATTAAAATTCATCAATTATCATTACATCACATAACTACTAATATCCGACTCTTTTACAATTGTTCTCAAAGCACTTGTTAACGTTAAAATTTCTCGATAAATTGTATTCTAAATAGCAAAAGATTGTTTTTTTTTTTAATGCGAGTTTTCGGTTTGCATTTGATTAAATTATAAATTAGTCCCTTCGTTTTGAGAAATGAATTAATTAGTTTTTTTCATTTCAAAAATAAAATGTTTTGCATACTAGAAGAGGAAGACAATCGAAATATGTGAAGGTTAAAATTGAGATTGACGATTAATTTTTTGGTGAATTTTTCAGCAAGAAAATGTCACCAACAAACTAGATCTCTACATAACGATATCGGATGAAAAAGATGAGATTTTGGCCAAATTTTTGAAATCAAAAGTCCTCTCTAGAGTCTTAGATCAAGAACATGATTTATACATGGATGGCTGAATTGGGATTGAAATTTTCATTATTTAGTTTTTGCATTACTAGTAAGAACATGATGTTAAGGAGCAATCAAACTTTTTGTGGTAGATATTTAGTTAGGAAAGTATGTCCTTACAACTTTCCTTTGGTAAAAAAATTCACAAATGGTTGCTATTTCAAGACTAATCAAATATGCAAGTCGATGCAAATAAAGAAAATTATCAAATGGCTAAAAAGTTGATGCTATTTCAAGAGTACTAATCTTGAATATAAAATTTAAAAGTGAGATTTTAGTTTGAGAATGATTGTTGCATAAGACTTTAAGACTTTTATATATGATCCATATAAAGAGATTAAAAATTAAAATTATAGTGGCTTGAAATTTGACAGAGAGGAGAGTGGGAGATCAAAGGTTTCTTAGTGAGAGAGAATTGTTTGGAGGAGAAAAATAATGCATAAAAAAAAGGTAATTTGAAAACAAAAATTACTACAATAAGGATACATTATCACCACTCTAACAAAAAAATTAACGAAAGAACTAAGTTATTGATGAAATTAAAATTAGAGAGACTAAATGATTAATTGTTAAAATAAAAGGGACTAATTAATTTGTTTATCAAAACAATAGGGACGAATTTATAATTTACTCTTTAGATTTGGACATAAAGCGGACAAAACTTGCGGATGACTCAAGAGTCTCAGAGGGGGATTCTAACTGAAGCTTGGGCCGAAATCCAATCATCTTTAAGTCCAAGCAGTGGCCCAAACGGTGATGAATCTTCTTTATCGATTAATTGGGACTTCATAAAAGAAGTTAGAACCTGCAGTACAAGAATCCGTTGGTAGTTTCTGAAATCCAGAATGAATAAAAAATTTGGAGCAGGAAAGCAGCCCACGGGCACTCCTTCACTGGGGTGGTCATGCGTTGTTGTCATCGTTTCGCTTCTTGCCGGCGCCTCTGTTGTCCACAACATCTACAAACCCAATCTTGTAACTATATTCTTGTCTTATGCTCGTCCTTTATCTATAACATCTATTATGCTTACAACCTGTTCGATAAAATGTCTAACTCGCCGACTCTTCTAATTTTTCTGTTTGTAGACGCTGCCTCCAGTGGAAAGTGTTGATGCTGCTGCTAAGGAGAAACAGACTGAAAAACAATGAGTATTTCTTTTTTCTTAAAACAATACAAGGGTGTCTGGATTTCACACTAGACATGTGAACAAAGTTTTGAATCTTACAAGACGTTGGATGGTTTGCTAAATATGTTGTCTGTTCTATTATTAAGAACTCAGATCATTTGGGTTTGTGGTGGTCCTACGAAATGTGGGTTTTTTTTTCAAAGCATTGATTTGCATACTCTTAACAATGATGATTGGCCTAGTAAAAAATACTTGAGAAGATTTTGGGTTTCCTTGTTCTTATGTTCTGAGATATACAAGTTTTTGGCTTCTTGTCAATAGGTGAATTTTATTCTTTATCAAGCATCAAAACAAAAGCTATATATTTTGTATAACCCGCACAGATTATGATACAACACTATGCCATCTATACTACGCTGCATTTACATGAATAAACACACTCTGTCTACTTCACATATCTCCGCAATCTCCTCTTTTCATCCTTCCAAAATCATTAGAAATAACGAAGAAAGAAAACAGTTCGGGAAGTTCATTCTGTAGCGGAAAGAAGGGATACTGTAGTATGATGATGATTGTTGTAGAATGGATGATCTTCTGCCGTATATTCCTCTCTGCTAATCTTCACTGGGTTTTCAAGAGCCGGCTGGCTGGTATCTTCATGGATTTGGATTCTTTCATCGAACAAAAGCTTCTCGTTCGAGTCCATGAACTCGTCATCTTTTTCTTGATTGTTTTTATAGCTATAGTCAGAGTTGCACCTGAAACATTTTCTGAAGCCTAATTCTTTAAAGCTTTCATCAGCTGAAGAGGATCGTTGGCATAAGCTACCAAACCCTTGAATCTCTCGTGTCAACTTACGAGCGCTTGCCCTTTCTTCTTTGAGATATAGTCCATTTTCAAGTAGCTTCAGTGTTCTCTCAGATAGTTTTCTGACACTCAATCCCCAATTGAATCTGCAAGTGAAACCAACAGAGTATAAATTTGGAGGCTACAATCCATAAAATTGTACATTATTTAATTTGTTAACAAGCAACTACACCGACCCTTTCTCATCGACGAACTGGAAGCTAACCATCTCCTTGATGACCTCTATATCACACTGAAACTCATCAACAACTCTTAGAGGTCCATGGGTTAGAAGGTGTTCCAATAGAAGCAAAGTCTTGTAAGAAGCTCTCCAAATTTTCCTGTCAAATTTTATTAACCTGAATTGGCAACAAAGAAGAAACTTAGATCCTTCAGCATAATATAAGTCTCATAACTAAGTTTTATAGAAGGACAAGTAGATTAATCCAATCCCAATACACATAACATAAACCTCTTGTGTAGAATGTCCACAATTCTCCAGTAATCATCAACTTCAAAGGCAGCCCGTGAAATAATACCCATAGCGCGTGTATCTGGTGCCCAAAGATCTCCATTTGTGATCTCTTCTGTCAACCTTCAAGGCCAAAAAAACATCAAATTAAAGACAATTTGAACCAAGAAAAGTGTTGATAAATTAACAACAAATGATATGGAGAGTTAACTTACAGTTCTGTTGGTGTAACATCAGTCAGTGCCAAACGAGCAGTCTTGATTTTCTCTTTGAAGAAGAAAGAAGCTTGTCTCTTGAATTCATGGAGAAGAGGGCTACCCATCTTGCTGTTTTGGTTTAGAAGCATAGCCATGTCCTTTGATACGCATAAAAAGAATATTTCACTTTATATTTTGTCCCGTAATTCTCACTTGTGTACGTAATACGTGCAACTACTCCATTACACAGCAACAAACGCCAACTACTCTTTAAAAGTGCATGTTTGCGTATGTAATGAGAGGGAAAAGGCATGCAAGTGAATATTTAAAGATAAGAGGATAGGAGAAAGCGAAAGATTTTCAACTTTCAAGTTTCAACCGGGCAGCATTATAGCACTAACGTGGAAACCGTATGGCAAATTTGGTCATTAAACATCGTTGCCTTCTAGTAATTTATCCCTCTATAGCTTGAGGTCGACCTATAAAGAAATGTTATTAGAACATACATTTGGCAAAAGTTTAGTTGATACAATTGACTGTGAATTGGGTCATAAACTATCAATTCAAATATTAGGATATTAGAATATTAGAGGTTAAAATTCCGGGTATGAAAATCAAAGAAGGGGTATTTATCTTCATTGTTTTTTTTCCTGGTGGTGGAGTTGTGATCGTAATGGGATTATGATGTGGGTTCCATCCCACCTCTTACACATGAAGATGACAAACGTAAAGACAAACTAGACCAGCTTCAACCGACACTAATCAGCGACCGCTTTGGTTCAATCTCTACCCGTTGGATGTTAGGCAGCAATTTGGCAGCAAGAAAATATCAAGCCACTAAATGATACGTGTACGTGGCCAAACTAGCATGTTTCTCTTGCATGGAAACGATAAATCTAATTACCTCGCATAAATCATTTGTTAATCGTCACACCGTCTCTTAAACCAACCGGCGAGCCATCCTGATTGTGATGCCCACAGCACTCAAGTAATTTTTTATTATAGACTTCCTTTCAAATGCATAGGTCTGTCTGCCTGAGGATTTTGGACATGCTTGGCTTTGCAGTTCAAAAAAGAATTATATTCTCAGCTTTTTTCGAGTAATCTAATATTTTAGATCATTCAAAATATTTAGAAATTCAAAATTTTTTGACATACCAAAAATGTAATTATACCTGACAACATCTAAAATTGTTTTTCCTCGAACATTCTCGAATGCTATTATACCAAATTCATCCTAAAACCTAAAAACTAGTAGCTTTCTGAAAGAAGAGAAATTTTTGCTAGATGTATTCAGAAGCACAAAGTCTTTAATTTTTGTACTTCAACCAAATGTTTTAAAACTTGAACAGGATATCTAAACCTAAGGTCGAAGCATAAAATTCAACTTTCAACAAGCTAAGAGTTTTGTGCTTTCCATCCACAGCACTCAAAACCACAACTATCTTCGAATCGCTATTGCCTTCGGCTTTTCGCCTTCGCCCCATTTTAACAACGCGTGGCACCTATTTTCAATTTTAAAACTTACAACAGGCAAATATAAAGGTTTTATGGTTGTTTTGTAATATTGACAGTATATATGTGCTTTCTATTAAATGCCTTAACCTCGTTATTTTTCTGTTATTTTCAGCTCACAGCCTCGTTCTCCTCTCCTCTTCCTTTCTCTCAGATCGTGAGCAAGTGAGCAAGCCCTCAGCCTCAGATCACCTCTCTCTCTATCTCTCTCTGTTTTCCGTGCATAAATGACTTGCCATATATTTGATCACAATTCTGTTTCTGAAGCCCCCACACATATCGTTATTAGGAACTGGAGTACCCACAGCCCATGGCCTTTGCCTTTGCTTTTGTGACTTTCACCGCATCACCACATCATAACCCATTTTGGTTTTTGCATCTTCAAGTGATGAATTATTTTTTGCCGCCATTAGAAGAAAGAAAGATGTAAATGAAGTTTCATTTCCATAAAAAGGAAACAACAGAATCAAACATGTCTTTTTTATGCATTTTATTTTCTTTTACTGAGGCATGACGGGAAAAAATAAAAATACCAAACTACCCTTCTAGGTTGTTCTAGCGTCGTATGAGTCGTCTGGGATTTTCACTGTCGTGACTCATTTGAATAAAAGAAACGCTTGCAGTAAGATTCCAGATCCTTAACACCAAGAACACAAATTAAAAAGTCATCCTATAAATAAAAGCAGCGAGCAGAATAAGGCCTAAGAGAGTCTCATGTCATTCCTTACAACTAAAAATGCAAAAATGTAATGGTGATTGGTGGATGAGATTCTAATTGTTCCGACGTAAAATCAAAATGAAAGAGCTGCATAATTTGATGACATCTTTGAATATGATTCTAAATTCTGAAACAATAATCAAGAGTAAGAGAAACGTATCGAAAAGATGTGCTCCTCAAATAGTACTGCAGATTGAAACCGCAGGGTTAGAAATGTGTATTCCATGGTTTGTATACCCTAAGGTTTGCCTAATCAAGTGTCAGAATCACTCTAGACCAAAGAAAGCCCGGAAAATTGCAACAGTTCTCACAAATAAACTCCAATGAAAAGTCTCAGCTGCAAATTTTCCACATTCTAGTCCTATATCCCACGGACATGAGTGCTAGCTCCCAGAGCATGTTGGGAATGCTTAATAGATTCACCTTGGATCCCGGAATTTCAGACCAGTTTACAGAAATCTCAATCATAGGGATACCAAACCATTTGCATAGGAAAATCAACTCAACGTCAAAGCACCATCTGCATGAAGTACATGTTAATATATCAGTGTCTATAAGAAATTGAAAGCAAAGGAACAAAAGTAAACAGAGACTAGGGACGAAAAAGAAGAAAAAGGTTGCCAAACATAACTACCAAACTTGTTTCTCTCTGCCTATAACTAGTTAGACTAGGAGATCATCAATAAAGCAGCCAACATTGTTTTACCTTTCACATTTGTCTATACATATCAATCCAAATTTGGTTTACAGGGAAAAAAAATGTTATTCAAGTTGCCTATCCTTTTGTATATGCTGATTTTTGATTCAACGATTAATTTCAATCAAATTAAAAATCAATGTTGCTTTGAACTCAGCTAATATTATGCTCTTGCCCTGCAAAATGTGCATATCCCATATGCTCTAAACTGAAAAGACTGCACAGGGAGCAATCAAAAGAAATATCAATGTTGTTTGAAACTCTTCCAAGGTGCCCAGCTGAAGAATTTATCTGAAGTGGACAAGATAGCATTATATTATTACAAGCCCCACTCCCCCTCTAATAACTAGCAATAGGTGCCCACATTTTGCTCCTTGCGCCCAGCTACATTGTGATGCTATGCCAGCAGCCTTGTTGTACAGCAAGCTATATGGATGGGGTACAATCAGGAATTCATTAGATACTTCTGGTGCCCCCATAAGGTTATAGTTTGATAGAGCAAGCAGCAACAAGTAACATGTGGGAATACAAATATCAATATACCTTTGTTTTCTTCAAATGAATGTTAGAAGCCAGCAACAGAAAAGATAAATTAGTCCATATCTATGCAACAGTAAATACTTGCCTCTTCAGCCGGATGTTTGTAAAAAGCTTCCGGGCAGCGGCCCTTGTAAACATCTTAAAACCACACTGTAATGCATGAAAGACCACATCAAGAAAAGGAAAAGAAAGAATATTCACCCTATTATAGATATGACCTTCAAGGCTTTGACAAAATTGGAAAAAAAAAGGGTCTGTGCTTGTTTCAAACTAAAGACCAATAGCGTCTGTGCGTGTGAATATTGCAGGAAATTACCTGTGTATCACGAATTCCAGAACCAGCAGTCAAGAGAACCACAAGATGAAAGCCTTTCATAAGAAAATTGCGGTACCACTTTCTCTGAGACATTAAGGAAAGCGGATCAACAAAGGCAAATATAAAATAAAGATGCCAAAGCCAAAATTAAAGAAACTTATGTATTAGTGAGAAGCATCAATAAGACTGAACTGTAGCCAGAGCCTTCTCCTCAAGATGAGCACGAGAACCAAAGGCCGCAAGTGGGATATCGGATACTCTATAACTTGAATCACTAGCCGCTGACTCTCCTAAACGGAACTCCTTTCTAGCAACTGCATGGATCTGATAGGCAAAACCTTAGATACTCTAATGAGAGCTTTCCACAATATCAGAACTTTTTTTTTAAGAAACAAAATTTGCAATGTTTTACCCACACGTAGCCACGGCCAATACGAACCTGATTTTCTAGTTTCTCCAAGTCAGTAACCTTGGTTGCCCCATCGGCATCCAGCATCAGAAGTAGTTCACCACGTGAATGAAGCATGCCCTGTTTTACAATGCTTTCACATAGGTAAAAAGCTTCAATGAGTTGTTGTCGTGAACAAGAAAAAGGCACGGGCCTCACCAACAGCATTAAAGATTACATAACTGAGCAAATGGACAGTTTAGATTATACTCACTTTTCTAATAGCTTCTCCTTTGCCATGATTTCTACCAAGAAGGATAACCCTTACATTGTCCACTGTGTACTTCTTTACAAAATCAAAAGCTACTCGTTTTGTCGCATCAGCACTTCCATCATCAATGATCACCACCTGTCCATAAAATTATCTATTCACACAGTGTCGAGCTGAAGAAAATGCTAGGAACAAGCACATCATGGATTGTTCATAACAGTAGTGACACCACTGGCAGAACATCAATCACTACATAGTGCTCAAGTTAGGCGTAAAGCAGCAAACTAAACAAAAGATTTTTGTCCTAATAAGTACTTCTAAAGTGTTCTGATGAAGGGGGTAAAAGCTACTGTCTTTGATGGAATGCCTTTTAGGATTCTCTTTTCTGGTGTTTTCAATTAGAGGATTACTACTTTTGCCAAAACGATCTTCCCAAACCCACTATAGAAAAATCTCATCTAATGGATGATTCTCACAACTATAGATTACACACTATCATTCATCACTGGCTGTGAAAAATAAGTCACATGATCCAGCAAATTTAAAGAACAAAAAGTACCTCGTAAGTAAATGACTTATCCTTCACTGCACGCTGTTGAAGATAACTACAAAGTGAAAACACAAATAGCATTACAACAAAATAGTTTAACTCTATTGCGGATAGTTATCAATCCAACTAATTACTTTACGAGATCATTACTAGGAAACTATATTCCTCATCTCAAAACCTCATTGTCTATATACCATAAAAAAACAAGATACACACGCAATGGGTTGAGAAAAAAAAATTGAACACTCTTTCGCATACCATGTTGCCAACCAACAAGAGCATATTGCACATGCAGGTCCGTGTTCACAAACAAGTTTCCCTATCGCCATGTTCCTATATAATGATTTTCTTTGTCTCAGTCTATATCATTGTTAAGCCTTTTATTTTGCATATCAGGCAACGATAATGCATAAGCAATCTTCTTGTTTTATTGGCAATACAATATGCCTAAAATGCTACAATGCTCTCAGCATCTTCTTGCTCAGCATTGACTCCAAATTAAAAACAACACCACTATAATACACTACAATTAATTTGGTTTAACCTACTTGATGGCTTCATCAAGAGCTCCCGGAAGTCTATGCTCTTCATTAAATGCAGGAATAACCAAAGATATATATTTCCCAGCCGGATCATGAATATAGGGACATGGAACCTGTACAAAATGGTATTAAAAAATAGTCAGATTTCATTAAATTGCATTGTGCATACACTGCTATTATATAATGGTGACCTAATTATAACAATCACATTACTTCCTCCCCAAATAACTCTTTTCTGTGAGGCTACATTTCACAGTGCAACATTATTAAGCACAATCAAAGTCGAGTGAACCCAAAACGATGTATTGCTTCGAGTAGAAAAGGTTGTATTTTGTTTCTTTCTTAAGTAGCCAAACCAGAAAAGCTTAACAATTGATCAACGGTTAAGTTAAAACCAATCTAGACCATAAAAAATCACTGTAAAAAACCTTGATAAACAGCTACTTCGAGTCTCAATCACCAATTTATATCATATAATGCAAATCCTAATGTGAAAGATAAATTAATTACGCCGTATGACGATGTTTCTTCACTAATAAAGCAGCATTTGGTCAATAACATTCAGCTTCATCAAGTTCACAAGTTCCTCTATTAAAAAATCCAACAAAATATCCAAATTTTGTTTCAATTACTCAGCAACCAAATAGAGTATCACAAATCCCTAAATTAGGCGAAATTTTAAATTTTTTCAAAGTCAACTAAGCATCTTGATTTACCTGTTTCAAGGAATTCGGATCCTCGAAGATAGCATGATCATCAACATGCCTAGAAGAAAAGGGAGAAAAAGAAATCAATAAACGCAGATAATATCTGAGTAATGAAAAGATATAAATTATTAGGGAATTGAAAGAAGAGAAAATACGTGTTGTTGTGTCTTCTTCTATAAGCTTCAGACACGATTGCAGTTAGCAAGAATGAAGCTATGATTAAAATTAAGGCTACCAGGAGCTCTGCAATTGTCCATAGAAACCCCATTCTGTTTTAGCCTTTTGTTTCTCCTCTCTCTCCGAGTCGTACATTCCTACTCAGACAAATATATTTCCATGGGGTCTGTTCCTCAGATATCATTAGTATTATTAAATAATTAATTGCTAGCATCATAACAAGCCCGTCTAGCTCAGTCGGTAGAGCGCAAGGCTCTTAACCTTGTGGTCGTGGGTTCGAGCCCCACGGTGGGCGTTTGGTTTCTCTTTCATTTTCTGCCCGTGAATTGCTCTGTCAATCAAATCATACGGTAGACGGTTTTTTTTTTTTAAGCATTTTATTGGTCTCTTTAGTTTTACGAAACAAATTAATTAATTCTTATTTTTAAAAAACTTAATTATTTAATTCTCACATTTAAAATTTACTTATAATTTAATTAATTAATTTATTTTTATTTGTATTTTAAAATTATAAAAAAATATGAAAAAATTGATGAAAAAATAAGAAATTTTATTAAATAAAAATAATATCAAATTAGGTACTAATTAATTTATTTCTTGAAATTAAAGGGATTAATTTATAATTTATTCGTTTTATACAGAGAGACATGTTTTTTTCAAAAAAAGAAAAAATAATCACAACTTTTTTCAAATCTGAAATATTAAGATTGAGATGATAACATAGGAGGATAACTCACTGTCATTACCTCTTGAGTAAGCACAGAAGATGAAATGAACGTTTTCTTGGGGATGGAGGAATAGTTATGAACATGGACACAATGTTCAAAGAGAGGGAAGCCCAAGTCAAAATTTTTGGAATCAAATCAAGTTTGGGTGTAATTTTGTCAAATTTAGAGCTACATCATTTCTTGAGAACTTTTTCAATTCAAGCATTTTATTTAGCTATAAGTCAAGCCCTATGATTGATCCTTGCTAGGCACAAAGACCCTGGTGTTTTATGGTTGAAGACGCGTCGGTGGTCTAATATTTATCCAACCAACTTACTGATTACTTCTTCAACTGTTTCCTGGCTTTTAAATTAAGATTCTTTAGGAAAGTCAACCATAATGAAGCATCTAATGCAAGTGTTGCTTAACACATTCGAGATTGTGGTATTCTTAAAATTCAAAAAACACAAGCATTTTGCATTTCCTAGTACCATACCAACAATAATGTATTTTCAGGTATCACCTGCTTTTGCAAATTGCTTTTATCTTCACTAATTGATGAGGAAAGAAAGAAAACAAAAAGATGTCATTCCATCCCATCTCATCTCCAACATAAGTACACCTAAAATCTTTGAATATATACCAGTTCCATATTTTAATCTGATTACTTCTTCTAGGATTCTTTAGTTTCTTTGAAGCTAGAAGCAAAAAATGTCAAAAGACATTTTTATGACAGTAGTTCTATAGATACCATGTGACACTCAATAATACTTGTGATCAAACAGGACAGAGTAATTATGAGTCCAACACACCTATTCTGCTGTGGTACTACTCTTCTCACACTTTTCTACATGTAATTAAATTGTACAAACACTTGTTACAAAGGTGTATTATTATTTATTCAGGAGCAGAAGGAAAGACTAAAGAGATGTCCACGATTCATGTGAAAAAGGGGAGGTTGGAGATGGGCCTTCCCATTGCATGATTAAAGTCATGAGAAGCAATGCGATAAAGAAAAGGATTTTATTTTCTTCCTCACTTTTGTAGACCGTAAAGCTTTTGTAGAGGTGGAGAGGTTGGCCCTTAACCTGGCCGCTATTTTGCTTTCCATCATGCCCCATAGCTTCTTTTTTCTTTTCTTTGACCCAACATATATCTGACATATCATCCACCATCACCATATATATATATATATATATATATATATATATCCTTATCATCACACCCATAGTCACGGCGTGTGTTAACCCTTTGTTACTACTTGCTATATAATGCTCAGGGTCCAACTAGAGTGCCTTCATGATGTTGGGATAATCCATGCCTTTTCATTGACCGGTGGGATTCCATTTACAGCTTTCTCTCTCTTCTTGATTTTTTTTTTTTTAATAAATAAAGGCAGTAATTGTAATTGGATTTCGAAAGCATAATTGTGCGTGGGAGAATACATAACAAAATAAAACATATGGATCCTTCAAATTCATTTATGAGATGAGTCACTCCCGGGGAGTGAAGACATTGAAAGGCATGGATACCAAGATGATGCAGGCATTCTAGAATTTTCCCTAATGCTCGTATAAGAAACTTTTGGATTTTCAAGAAAACTTTTGGCATTATGGTAAATGACAAAATGTGAAAGTAGTTAAATAATACTCCCGGAATAGTAAGTTCTAACTTCAAGACCAATTGTAGGATTTCATGTGTAACTTCGACATTTGGGTTCACGGGTTGGATCTAAGTTCTAACAAATTGATATTCTAGAACACAATTTACAATAAAAGAGCACTGTTGAGTCCATGGCTCAATGCAGTTATTAAAAACATGAAAGGATTAAGAAGATAATTAAAGGTTTACTTTTCAGATTTATTCCTAAACTCTTTCTATTTTTTTAAAAATGATATCGTCAAGCATTTTTCATAATTAAAAGCTGAACCTAACACTGATCATTCAACAAAGTCAAACCCATTTGCTATGTGTGGTAATAATTCGGTTGTTGCAGTTCCACATCTCCTCGCAATTTTCTGTAATTCTACTCGTATTTATCATCAAACGCTTGCATATATAGGCAAGTCAAGAAGGAGTCGAGCAAAAACTAAAATACTGTAGCATTTGCCTGTAAAGGAATATTCTTCAAGAATAATTTTCTTGGCTATATTGTTAACAGCAACTGAAAAAAGACGACGACAGAAATGGTAGAAGGAAATGGATAGATATTAATTTTGTACATGAATATTATTCAAGATAAGATCACAAGATCATAACAATACTGCTTCCGTTTGAAAGAGCTTTGATATGTCACTTACCTCCCTTTCAGAATTGCCAGTTAGCTGTGCCACTGCATGTCAAACTGGTACATCAACTTGCAGATGGAGACATTGGATTCACCACCAAATAAACTCCAATTTATTTAGACTGAAACAAACTCCTTTTGTTAATTAGAAGAAGAAGAAAGAGAAAAATCCCATACACAAGATCCCCCACAAATAAACCAATCCCCCCTCGATCCTCATTAAGAAGCAAAAAAAAAAAAAAAATTACTAACAAAATCAACAAAAGAAAACGCCTAAAACTAGAAAAAACAAGAGCAAAAATAAGCATGCCTAATGAGCCATGGCGACCTGGGGTGCTGGATAGTTGATGCTTCTCTGGTGAGGTATGGCAAGCATAGCAGTGTGATCCAAGAAATCATTGAGGGAAACCACAGACTGTAATATAATCTTTAGGTCATCTGCACAAGAGAATCCGATGTTGCCTACACGTCTCACTGCATAGACATAAAAAGTAATGCATCCTTTTCTAAACTTAAACCTTGCCATTTCACATCCATTTAGACCTCTGATAAGTTTCTTGTTCACTTCTCCAAGCGGTATCTCTGGTGGCCATATTCTATCAACAGCCAGCTTCATGGACTCGGATTCAAAGACAAAAAGCAGTACTTTGGATTTCTTGGTACCAAGACCAAGTGTCAAGGTATGCCAAGCATGGTGTGCCAAGATAGTGAAGTTTGTAGGCAGAAAAGCTGTTGTTGAAGGGAAAGGTGTCTTATTTTTGTTGCTGTTCTTATTTGTTGCTGGATAAGAAAGGACTTTTAGAAGCTCAAGAGGCCTTGCTCGCCGGATTGTGAAAGATTTTACAATGAATTGGCCTCCAAAACGAAGACCCTTCACTTCTGAACTAGGCTTGAAAGTAAAATCTGATGATGGTTTGGTGGTTTGATCATTTGGATGTTGGTGTTTTTGCTTCTTATTGTGATTCTTCTTCTCCTTCTTTTCCATGAGGTTTGTGGGTTTCTTGGTGGAGGTGGGTTTTTGTTGTATGTGATGGCCAACCAATCTATAACTTTTCAAGATAGGTTATATATATATAGTATGGTTATATTTTTCTTGTCTGGATTTTCTTTTGTATTGGAAATATTATTGGAGTTAAAAGAGGGTAACTACTTTACAAAAATTAGATCATCTTTATTTTATGCTGTCATTATTAATGTTTGTTATGTATGTCATTCCTTCCTAAAAAAAAATAATTTTAATTTTTTTTATAATTTTTTTATCTTAGGATACCTCATGTTTAAAAATACATATTAATCTCTTATTGTCCGATCAAACATAAAAACGGACATAATTATTTTAAAAAAAATTACATGAATAAAAATATTCGAAATCGAAACCATTTGTTTAAATAATTAGAGTTTTTTTTTTCATTCAAATCAACTCTTTTAAGTAAAATTAGATTTATTTTAGATGAATTACTTAAGTTTGATTATCCTAATAGTGCTCTCGTTATTATATTTTAATGTTAGAGTTAGCCATTGGAAAAAAAATACTGAGTACCCTCGTATATGTATACTTTGATTACATAATTCTGATCATGATGTTGCCGCTTCTTTCACTAAATTTTTTTGCTGTTTATGCACCTTTATTTACATGATGCCTCTGATGAATTAATGTACTATAAGGTTGCACAAAACATGTATCGAATGGATATGTATGCATAATTCCCAAAAGACTAATGCCAATTGGATTTTGCAATTATATATAGCAAAGTAAGTAGATTAATAATATTTTGCTATCACGATCTGTTTATAGAGGTTTTCACAACTTTTTAGACTTAATATTGCTTAATAATCCATTAAAAAAAAAAAAAAAAAAACCTTTTGCCAGACCCAACATTTGTACTGATTTCATGAGTACAACATGTGCCGCTGGGAGAGATCTTGGGTTTACAAGTGAAAATTATTCCCAAATTGGGTTTGTAAGCTCACTAACAGAGGGCTAGGACCACATTATGGCAACCCCATACGGGCAAAAAAAAACCCTAATCAAGAAGATAACCTTTTTTCCTAGAATCATAATTTCAACCATTTGTTTAATTCTTTCTATTGACTGTCTAACTACAATTTCATCTTTTTATGCAAATTTTTAATATACCTAGAATATTGAATTAACATTAGCCAATATGTGGATATTTGCATACACTAAAAGACATGCTTCAGACACTAGAATTTTTGTCAATTACACTCAACAGAATTCCAGAGTACCACTAGAACCATGGTTAGATCAGCCATAGGCTGTGACAGGACCCATTAACAATTGTTAGGTGGATGTTGTTCAGAGAAAAAGCTTTATATATATAGAAGTGGTTACCTTTGATTCTTGGTGTTTTTTAGAGAAAGAGAGAGAGGTAATGCTTACCTCAGTTTTGACAGCCCATTACAATTACAAGTCTTTCCATTAAAGTTGTTTCCTTCCAAAGGCACCATTGCCTTTAATCATTTCATGGGAAAGAAATTCCAGTCCAGAGGTGCTGAGAGAAGACCAACTAAAAGCAATAACTCTTGCAATAAGGGCCACCACCACCTATGGACCTAGGCAAAAACCTGCCAGGGTTTCAATATCCTTTGGCATTGATCATTTGCTTTCATTCTCATCCCTTCCATGAAAGTCACCATTTGGTGGCATGTAATGAAGGGTTCCATTCGGAACAAATTCTAAAACTTTAATTTTTTGGTGATTTGTACACAATAATTATGACTACATGTGCATCCTAGATTGAATTGATAGGAGTTGTGGGGATCAATTGACTAGTATCATGCCCTATAGATTGTTTGGACCCCAAGTTTTCAAAAAATTTGTTCCATCAATTGCATGTACCAGAATTGAAAGATAAGTATGTAGCTAGGGGATCCTAAATTCCAACGAAGTTAGCTCAGATTCATAATAGCTCATCTATAAGCATGAAATGATCACACCGACATCTGCTTAACTGGTGCAAAATCTATCAATAATTAAACAATCGGGTGTCGGTCGCAGACAGGTAGAGTTGAATGGTTTACAAGTCACTCTCACCAAAAAAAAAAAAAAGACTACGATTACCTTAAAAAGAGTAGGCATACCATACTCTAATTTTCAAGCAGATGTTCATGTTAATTGAATAGGGAGGAAATTAATAGCTAGTTTCTTTACGTACAGCAATCACCATCAGTACCTCTTCTAAAAACATTAAAATAGAAATTGAAAATAAAAACATGTCACCTTTGCACAACTGTAAGGACAAGCTCTCTCTCTCTCTCTTTAAGCATTGCAAAAACTGAGAAGATAATACAAGTTATAAACTCCGTTTATTCGGACAGAACCTAAAAGCATTATAAAAAGGAGCATAGGTCTAAGGTGGCCTATCTCATGATTGCTTGGATTGTTATAATGAAGAAGCAATGTAATTAATAATTTCTTGAGGGATTCTGAAGTGAATATGCATCAATTGCATCCACCCGTTATGATTTTCTTCTTCCTCTTCTTCCTTTTTTTTGGGGGTTATTAGTGCTGTAATTTATAAAATGATATGGATATTGAACAAATATATAATTCATGCTGTCTCATTGTAAAGATTACATATACATTTTAATATAAAATTTGATGCATGCAGGGGATCAATTAATTTTTTTAAAAAAAAAACTGCGACAAGCATTGTAATTACGATAATTGATAATAATAATTGTAATTACTTCAATCCATTATTATGCGTCTGCATAATGAAATTGAAAAATAAAATACAAAATAAAAACAGCTTATGCAGCTTCTTTAAAAAGATTTTAAGGTTACCTTTCCTTTTAATTTTGGACGTGGTCACAATCGCAGGAGGACATCAATACATAATGATCAAAATCGATATTAGTATCATTGTATCAACATCAATGGATTGATTATGATACAAGAAAAAAATTTTAATTAATTAGAACAAAACAGAATATATAGGTTAATGGAGGTTCTTAGTTGGCTCTAGCTAATTTGTAATTATTTCAGGAGGACAAAATCAGGTTGGTTGTTTCTCTCACGGGACGTCAGGTTTCCATGATTGGTATCATGTTCCCTCCCTCGAAAACTTAATTTCTAATTTTTCTTTTGCAATTTTGACTACCAATAAATCAGGATTGATGATGTTCCTATTTATTCGCCCCTCTGTTGCAACGGATCGAAAGTAAATTGTCAAAGAATGATTAATTTTATAATACTCAAAAAATAATTAATGTAAGTTACTCCATAAAAAAAAATAGACATAAAACAAAAAAATTGAAGAGAGAAAAATTGAATTAATGTAAAAATCTTTTTATCACTTTTGATGGATTCAAATATAATTCTGTTTTCTTTACGTATCTATCTTTTTTATTATAAAATTTTAAGTGTAAGTTATTCCAATACCAATCTTTTTTTTTTCACATATCTATCTCTTGTGCGTGTAAATTATTTCATAGAAAAAGATAGACTTATAAAATAATTATTATACATATATATTCGTTAGTATTATAAAATTTCTCGTCCAACAACTTGAGTAGACCAAATATTTGGAGATTTGATTGATCCTCAAGCGCTTCATAATTTTTCCTGGAGGACCCGGATTGTAACACTAAAATTGGCAAATTTTAACAAGGTTTCTTGATATTTTTATGCGTAGATGTGTTAATGTGAGTATTTCTTTTGGGTCAGTCTTTTATCAGGCCTGGGTGCAAGCTACGATGTTCATGTAGGCCCAAATGATCTTATAAGAACCGGAGTGGGTCCAGAGCAGGCTGCAGCCTTAGTTACACAAAAGCATATATCTGTATCTAAAAAGGGCCGGGTTACTATGGTTGCCCTCCAAACTGGGCCTCTAGTCCTTCTCAATCCTAGTAGAACAAGGGAAATTTCTTATATGTTAAAATAAACACAACAAACAAGAGTAAGAAAGGAAAACAAGGCATGTTCAAAAGAAATGAAGAAGTAAAAAGAAAAAAGAAAAAAAAAGGCAAGTTCTATTATGGAAGGCCACAAATTCATTCAACGCATAGAACTTTGATTTTGCTTATGAAAATGGGTGACCAATAAACATTAGTGTAAATACAAAATAAATAAAATTACATGGCCATCCCTAAATCTTTCTATATTTTTAGGGGCTGCTACCCAGATGGAACCGTACCCTTACCACGGGGCTAGATTCCTTGATTTGATTACAAATGTTTTAGGCAATAAAGAATGGATTGGTATTGGTATAGATAAATAACATGCCTGAGACTATCACTCTTCTTTTTTTTTTTTTAATTATTATTAGAGATCCTCCAAAAGGCATCGCTAGCTGTCAGCTAAACTCCCAAATTATTCTCAAATGTATTTACATGTGCCATGACCTGCATACAAAGAAAAGGCAGAAAGTGTATTAACAAACAAATTTCATTTTACATTAATTTTCCTTCAATCAAATATAACTTAAATCATATACTTACTTGGGTCAGAGGTGGTGAGGACACCGGTTTGAGAGAAATCACAATCGAAATCGTGGCGACCATGGGATTGGTAAAAGGAGTTCATGACGTATGATGCATGGGACCTGACATTGTTTGGATTGAAACAGGCACCACCAGCTTGAATAGGTTTGCAATCCACACCCTGGCTGCACACATAGTCTATGTTTGCTTGTAATGCTTTATCACTGGCGTCTGCTTTTGGTACACACCATTTCTTGCCTGTTGTAGGTGATGGTCTTGGTCTTGGACCGGGGGACTGTATAATGCAAGTATAAAAGACCATCAATAATAGGCAAATTGTAATCAATTGCGAGCATTTGGCTTTCTACTGCGAGAGTAGAGGAGATGATCTGTCTGCTTGCTAGCTCAAGTCCAATTAGAAATCAATCAATGTGTGCATGTGATCTACTGACTTCCTCTGATTGTTGACAGCAGTTATTTCATATTAATATTACAGATCTGCTTAATCTTAGCGTGTGATTCCATAAATATAATTAAGTTTCTTTGCTTTACGAGGACAGATCAAATTAAATGAAGAAAAGAATCCTATAGATGCAAATAAGGGGAATAAAGAAAGAGACAAATCAAAGGACAAAAAAAAGTGAAGAATATTATTTAGATTTCTTAAAAAGAAAAACCCAATTTTATAGAATGACATTTTTAGATTACTTACTGGAATTATGTTTCATGTACAGATAATTTTATGTTTAGATCATATACACATGATCTACTATCCATGTTAATCTTAATTTAATTATCAGGTGTTTTCTACTAGTATCCATAGTAAATCGTTACCCAAGTTAAAGTGATCACTACCCCAAAAGTGCAAAGACAAATAAAAAAAATGCTAAGAATTTTTTTAATAAAGAAGCAAAAATATTTCATACCTGGCCATTGCGCATAAGCCCAGCATCATAAACCGGGCTAAAATCTGGCCTAAACAAACCCCAGTTCCTCTCTGCGGTGGTTCCGGGCTTAAGATTCTCATTGAACAATGCAAAAACATACGTCTCGAACCGTCGACCGGGCATTAACGGAGTCCCCTTCCCTGAAGTAACAACCCTAATCATGTTCTTATTATATGACATTGCATTCTCCACGGTACACATCGGCTGGTTCGGGTCACCAAGCGAGGGCCAACCGGACTCCGCGACAACAATATCCAACTCACCGTAACCCATTGCTTTTATTGCCGAATAAACCGCGTCCAACATTGCAACGAACATGCTAGTGTAGGTAATGTTGGTGTTTTTGTCATGTACACCACGGTTAGGCTTGAAGAGGATGTAGTTTTCCATACTTGGAGAGTAGCTGAAGTAAGGGTACGGGTTGACCATAAGAGGTGATCTGGTTTGACGTAGAAATTGGAGCATGGGTGCAAATATGACCCTGTCATAGCCAGGTCTAATCCGGGCAGCACTTGGTTGCACAGAATTATGCAAAATTCCAAGAGTGTGAGGAGTCGATACCTGCATAAATTACAAAAAAATTAATACTTAAGTAATAATAATTTCAAGATCATTGTTCATATCGAGATGTTTATCGATTTAAAAATAACTGGGGATGCACTCAACACGAAGTTGTTGAAAATAACTTAAATTCAATATGTATTTATTCATTCAACATAGTGCAGATATTTTTAAGAACAATTTGGTAAAAGGGAACATTTTGGCTTTTTTGGTTAAAAATTAAACCTTATTTGGTTTGAACTGTGGTGTAGGTATATTACCTTAAAATGATTTATAGCACTTTCTGAAATTATTTTTACGAATTCATTTGAATGGACATAAATCATGAACATACATCCTAAAGGATAAAGCAATTGCCAGTAAAATCTATTTGAAGGGAATTACGGATTCCATGTAAAATAAAAAACAAAAATCATCGACTTTTTTTATGAACATCGTTCATATATTGACAATAGGAAAAAGAAATCATCTTACCTTAACATCCTTGATTCCAGCACGAACAAGAGCCTGATGCAAGGACTTCATGCAGGGTACAAGACGAGCAATCCACTCCTTATTACCAGTAAACAAGATTTCATTGCCAACGGCGATGAGTTTAATCCTTGTTTGCGGATAATATGGCTTGATATTGTTAGCAACCCATTGGCTGGCGGCATTTGCATCAACAAGCGCAGGAATATCACCATTACCAACAGTGACAGTCACCGTAATGTTTGTGTTGGCAAAAGCGCGAAGAATGTCAGGATTGGCGTCGAAGATTTTGATGCTATCAATAATTGTTTGTGTTTTAAGGAAGTTGGCCACCTGAGATGGTGATGGCAGATCGTTGGCTAGGGTACCATAATTGACACCAATAGCAAAGGCTGTGGTGGAGAGGTGGAGGAGAGTGGAGATGATGACGAGGGCGGTTGGGATGGATTTGGTGGCGGTAGCGGTCATGGTTGAGGCTTTCGTTTTTTCTTGGAGATGAGAAGAGGTGTAGGAAACTATGTATAGCAACTCATACAGTAGATGTAGAACCAGTTAATTAATCCAAAGAAAATGGTAGATTATATAGCTAGAACCAGCTGGAAGTGGCACTAATTGTTTGACCTTTTGTAAAGATAGACGGAATTTTGGAAGGGAAGATGTTTGGCTATTTCCTTTTCAAAGGTAAATTTAGGCGAAATGATACCTAGTTCGGTCTATCGCTGTAAAGAAGCCGTGTTACAAACCCACACGAAATGCCATAGAAAGTGGACGGTATCAAGGAAGACTTGTATTATGAATGTGGTGAACTGGTGGTCATGGGATGGGTTCTGTTTGTGTCTAGAAGTCATACGTGGCGGTTAGACATGGCTACCTCTCTTCTGTGAAGTTCTCCAGTCAAAAAGGAAGCCGAAGTGGAAGCGTTTTTTTTTTTTTGTCCGAACATAGTGGGAACATGACCAGTCGAATCGACTACCTACATTTTGGAACACGACCTGCCATAAAGAAGATTATCTCTTTCTCGAACCTTTTGTTTTTGACATGAACGCGTAACGCGTACACGGTTTTGTAAATCAGCCCACATGCCAAAAATCGAACGGAGTAAAAATCCTTGATTTGCTCCGGCATCCAGCTAATTGATTTATTTGATTCTTTCTCTAATATTTTTGCTTTTGCTTTTTTTCCTTTTAAGATTATGGATCTGAATGCCACCGACTTTTTTCTTTCTTTCTTTTTCAATTTTTGCAGCACAAGCGAAGGATATACGCTCCGGTAAAATCATTCTACTGACGTTTTCATATTTTTGTTTTCGTAAATTTTCAGTATTTATGTGATGTGAGATTTGGAATATCTAAAGGAAGAGACTAAAATTGTTTAGGACATCAAAAGACCAAAATAACCTCTTTTTGTTTTTTAAAGTCCACGTGTAACCAACCAATTGCAAATCTTTAAAACTATAGGTTCTCCATTTTATTTATAGAAGGAAAAAAGAACAGGAAAATCATGAATTATACTCACTGTTAATCACCAAAAATTGGCTTACACCGAAAAAAATTTAAGTTAATGATTTAAACAGAAGAGGTTTGTGCTTAGAAAAAGAAAACAAGCAGACTTTTAGTACAAACAATTTTTTATTTAATTAAGTGTATTTATCTTAAAATAAACTCATCATCTCATTCCACCTTCTGATCGGATTCACGAGGTACCACTGATGTGCTGTCACTGATGCTAAAGAGCTAAATAGATCATTGTCCTCTGATTAGATTTCAAATGTATTTTTTTACAATAAATAGATAGATACATTATTAAATTGAAACGCCAATTTTAATTAATTGGTTAAATACTGGAGCCACTCGACATTGATCTCAAATGTATCTGCATCTGCCATAACCTGTACGCAAACAAATGACCAAAAATTAAACAACAAAAATAGTTTCCTCCGGTCAAAGTACCAACTCAACCAATATATATATACACACACTCTACTAACAAATCTAAAAAGATACAGCACATTTGATCCATTAATTATGCTCAATGAATCTGGTAAAACACGTTTTCGCTTACTTGGATTGGTAGCAGTTAGGACGCCGGTGTTGGAGAAATCACAGTTGAAAGCTTGACGACCGTGGGTTTGATAATAAGAGTTCATGATATAAGAAGCATGAGACCTAATATTGTTAGGGTCAAAGCAAGCACCACCAAGTTGAATAGGCTTGCAATCCACACCCTGGCTGCATGCATAGTTTATGTTTGCTTGCAAAGCTTGATCACTAATGCCAGGTTTTGGCACACACCACTGCTTCCCCGGGCTTGGTCTGGGTGTCTGCCTCCCACCACGGCGACCACCACCGCTCTACCCAACGCATTAGATGAGAAAATTTTAACATAAAAGCACAAATAATATAGGATTTTAAAGATGGTTAAACAATCATATGTGGGTTAGGCCAAATCCTTTTTTTATTTGGGCACAATCCAATTTCATATCTCTCTTCTTCTTTTTTTTTATCAACCCTTAATCATATCCGACAATCCTCACCAACCGAAATAGTCATTCCTTCCAATCGTGTTTGGTCAACATTTTCCTTGATTTATGGGTCATTTGGAGGTCTACAGATGGTTCTCTCCCAAAATCTGTAGCGCGGACAAAATTTGATGTCTAGCCATTAAATAAAAATCATTTGATTAGTAATTTTCACTAGCTAAACTATCCAATACTCACTGTCACTGTTCTAAGACAATTAAATACCAAAATGAAGTCGAGATGACTTTGTATATGTTATTGAAAACCAAGTCAAGTGCTTCTAATTAGAAAGAAAAATGAATTGCGGAAGTATTAGCATACCTGTCCGTTGCGCAAAATGCCAGCATCATAAACTGGGCTAAAATCAGGCCTAAACAGCCCCCAGTTTCTTTCAGCGGTCGGACCGGGTTTAAGATTCTCATTGAACAATGAGAAAAGATATGTCTCAAACCGCCGGTTCGGCATCAAAGGTGTGCCTTTCCCTCGAGTAGCACGTCTAACTAAATTCCCATTGAACCAAGCAGCATTCTCCACACTACAAGCTGGTTGACCCGGGTCACAAACCGAGGGCCAACCGGTCTCGCCCACTACAATGCCCACATCCCCGTAACCCAATTTTTTCATTGCTGAATAAATAGCATCCAACATTGCATCATACATGCTAGTGTATGTAATGCCAGTGTATTTATCATGTACACCTCTATTGCGCTTGAAAAGAGCATAGTTTGCCATTTTCGGAGAGTAGCCAAAATAAGGGTATGGGTTAACCATGAAGGGTGATTTGGTTTCCCTCAAAAATTGGAGCATGGGTGCAAATATGGCTCGGTCGAACCCACGCCTGAACTGGCCTGCGCTAGGTGGCTCGGAGATTGAGAGAATGCCAAGAGAGTGAGGTGTTGTGACCTGTGAAATATTGGAAAGCAAATGTTAATTAAGATCCATTATTCTTAATTGCATTTCAAGAGTATTAATAAATTACAAATCTATCAATTATTATTAAGAAACTTAAAAAAAAAAAAAAAAAGTCGGAAATCTTATCATATAATTAAGGAAAGTGATACCTGGACGTTTCTGATTCCAGCAAGAAGAAGAGCCTTGTGAATGGTCCGCATGGCTGGCACGAGTTTAGAGATCCAAGCTTTATTAGCAGTGGCCATGATCTCATTACCAACAACAATCCGATTAATCCTTGTTTGTGGATGGAATGGCGCAATATTGGAAGCAACCCATCTGCGGGCACTGTTTAAATCGGCAAGGGAAGGAATATCACCATTGCCAACCGTGACTGTAACAGTAATGCCAGTATTGGCAAAAGAATTAAGAATGTCATGGTTTGTGTCAAAGATTTTAATGCTGTCAATAATTGTTCGAGTTTTGATAAAGTTGGCAACCTGAGAGGGTGGTGGAAGGTTGTTGCCTAGTGTCCCATAGTTGACACCGATGGCAAATGTGGTGCTGGATAGGTGGAGGAAGGTGGAGATGAGGAGGAGGAGAAGGTGAAAATGCCTAGTTTTGGCTACCATAGTTTGTCGCCAATTGTTGTTTTTTCTTATTTTATTTTCTTGTTGGATTTGGACAGAGGATGTAATGGGGATCTTATGAAGGTTGGATAGAAGATTGGTTGGACAGATGGTAAGCACCATTAATAGATGGATGAAACCAGCTCCGAGCCTTTTGGTTTATGGATTGGTAGCCAGCTGGGTACCCGAGCTGCCCGCATGGTGAAATTTGATTCTTTTGACCTTTATCAACAGACAAAGACATTATCCCCAAACTCCAAGACAGCGTTTGGTCATCTCCAAGACAAAAGGCATAGATGGATGAAACCAGCTCCATAGTAATTGGGTTGAGTTAGGCATAGAAAAACAGTTTGGCATTGGGTTAATGGTATTTTTCAAATTAGGTGTTTTTCAAGGGTTTTGGTGAGGATGTCAAAATCATATATAAAAAACACATTAAAAAGTAATAATTTGATGTCATTTCATATAAAAAAATACTTTGAAAAAGTACTTAATCTACCACGTTTAAAGGATCAAAAGCTAGGTTTAGAGAGTGAGTGACTAGAACTTAACGAAATAAATAAAATTTTATAGAGGCATAAAACTTATGGCAAAGACTTAAAGACAAAATAGGAAACAAGATTAAAACAATTTATATAAAGTGAACAGTTTGTAAGATATAAGCACAAAATAATAAAGCAAAGAGTGCAGGAATAACAAAAATTAAAGACAACTGTATATTCCGGTCTAGCCACGTCTACATCCAGTTTTCAAGCTTCATTTGGGATTTTGAATTCATTAACAATATTTTTATGGATGAAGATAATACAATATTTTTTTTTCTTTTTTCAAATTCAAGAGCAACCCTCTTGTTACATTGTCAAACTCACTTGTTACAGTGTCAAATTCAAGAGCAACCAAGTGAACAATTTGTAGGCTATAAGCACGAAACAATGAAGCAAAAAAGCGTAGAAATATAAAAATAAAATACAACGATATATTTTAGTCCAGTCACGTCTACATCAGTTTTCAAGCTGCACTTGGGATTTCGAATCCATTAAGAATCTTTTTAAGGATGAAAATAAAGCCCTTTACAATTTTTTTTTTTTTTTTTTAATTCAAGAGCAACCCACTGTTATAGTGTCAAACTCACTCCAATCAAAGTGTATCACCACACCTCCTAACCAAAATGTATCACCCACGCCTTCTTTTTTATCTTTTTACAAATGGAGCAACACTCAATACTCTCTCAAATAGTAAATGGTACAAGTTAAGCTCATTCAATAACAATAAATAGTATTTGCAAGTTTAATTATATTCAAATAATGCAACATATTTCTCTTTTGTCTTCGTCTTCTTCTTTCCCTCACACCTTATACTTTCTTCTTGCACACCTTCAAAGATGGCTCACCAAATGTATTTATAGGTGTAGTAGAAAACTAGGGATGGGAGAGTAGTGGTTTTATAAATTGTTTTTAAGAGAATCTTCTAAATAGAGAACTGTCAAGATAGTCTTCACTATTTTTTTTAGTAGGATCTCCAATTCAACGTAGAAGTAGCCATTATAAAGGATTTATTCAGATAAAAAAACTAGTTGTTGTAAAAAAGAGTATTATTAAATTTATCAATTAAATTATTATTTTCACTTTTTTTAATTACTAATACACCTTTTATTAATATTTATTATATAATAATTATTTGTAATTGGTGAAAAAATTTATTTGTAATTGTTTAAAAAATGATAAGAATAATAATTTAATTGGTGAATTTAATAGAATCTTGTAAAAAATTCATCAAGCAAGAAATTAATAGTCATCGTAAATAATCTCCGCTCTTTGTCTATCTATTAGAAATCTTCTCTCAATACCAAAGTAGCCTTTGCGAGTGATTTCGAGAGTAAACATTACCATTGGACAAAATATTTGTTCAACGAGGCATTAACCGTTAGAAAAGAATCTCTTTTAAAGTAGGATGTTGTTTGGTAATCGGGAATAAAGTGATGGGAATGGGAATGCGGGAATCAAAATGAAAATTAAGAAATCGGAATGGTATTTGTATTCCAATACCGTGTTTGGAATACAAATAAGGAATCGGAATGCAATTTAAATTTTTTAATATATGATTTTGTATATAAATATAAATAATAATTAAAAATAATTTTATTAAACTATAATAGTTATAAAAATAATAAAATGTGATGGTAGTGATTGTGATGGTTCTAGTGGTAGTGGTAGGCGGTGGCGGTGGCGGTGGCGGTAATGATTGTTGTAGTGATGATGGTTGTGATTGTGATTGTGATAATGATGGTTGTGGTGGTGATGGTGGTGATGGCGGTGGCAATAATGATCATGGTAGTGATGATGGTTGTGATTGCGATAATGATGGTTGTGGTGGTGGTGGTGGTGGTGGTTGTAGTGGTTATAATGATGTTAGTAGTAGTGGTGGTGGTGGTTGTAGTGGTTATAATGATGTTAGTAGTGGTGGTGGTGGTAATGGCGGTGGTGGTGGTGGTTATTGTGGTTGTGATTGTGATAGGTGGTGGTGATGAAAGTAGTGGTGGTGGTGGTGGTGGTGGTTATGGTTGTGATGGTGGTGGTGATGAAGATAGTGGTGGTGGTGTTTGTGGTTGTGATAGTGGTGGTGGTGATGGCAAAGTAGTTAATACATAATAAATAAATAAATAAAATATATTATTATTTTGAAAAAAAATTCATTTTCATTCCTTGTGTTTTATTCTCACATTTTATGTGGGAATGAAGTAGTGTGTAAATTTTCATTCCGATTCTCACTTCATTCCTTTTAACCAAACAATTACTAATATGAGAATAAAACTTTTATTCCCATTCTCATCACTCTATTTCCGATTACCAAACAGAGACTCTAGGAATAACCGTTGCACAAAATCTTGTCCAAACGAGCTAGATTTTGTCCAATTTTCAGCCTGGCTAGTCTGGGCTTAGCTAGGCAGGTTCTGGGCCTACTAGCTGGCTCTACTTTTGCTTGGCCGATACTTGAAGAAGACAAGATGAATCGACTGGTTCTGAGCCCTTACTCAACCGGGTTTTTTTTATATTCAGCCGGTTCTTCTTGCTTTCTTTCTTCAATGATTTTATGCCATCAAACTCCAAACTTTAGGTCCATTCTTCAATGTCACAATACTTAATTCTTTTCCACTGATTAACAAGTTTGCTACTTGTGTGTTTGAATTGTCTATTAACATACCACACTCAAATACAATGTTCATTATATCAAATATTTTATTATTATCAAGATTACAACAATTAGATATTTAAGGTTATGGTTCTTTTAAACTGACAACATTATCAAACCCATATTTGATCTATAAACTCAATTATCGAGACTAATGAATACACGATACGTGCATGATTCATACATCATCATGCATGTAAGATCTTTTTATACATGTACAATGTCTCTGTTGATGTGTTTTTGTTTCAAAAAGAAGAGATCAAGTAAGGAAAAAAAACAAACGCAATAATAATTTTTTCCTAAGATTATTCTTTTAGATAATTCATAATTTCAATCATGCCTTTACTTTCAAATTAAAAAACACAGGTGGTTAATTTTCTTCTAGGCTTACGTATAATGTCTTAATTATTTTCATTTAAGTAGATAAAAAAATTATAGAGGACAAAGACAGTTGATCAATCTAACGATCGAAAAAAAAAATTCCTTTTAAGGGGAGAGCGATGAATGAGGTGATTGGCTTTAATAGTGTTAAAAACTTTTATTTTTCGATTTATACTCTTTTGCAATTAATGAATATGCGTTGGCATATTATATTGTTATATATCAAGCAGTATTGAAAGAAAATTAAAAAAAAACCCAATAATTAGGCTTTTAAATCGTCAAGCTTTCTTATTTTATAAAGTTCAATCAAATTAATTGTATAGATTAGATTAAAAATCAACATATACTCTGCAATTAATGAACATGTATTGATATTATGCTCTCACGTATCGAGCAATATGAAAAAAAAAAAAATCTTTAAAAGCAGGTACACATCTAGTAAAGAGATTGTATTTAGAAGTTGCATACATATTTTTTAAAAGGAAAAGCAAGTAAAGACTGACGATAAGAAATGCATGTCCTCTCCTATTTTCTTATAATCAATTAAATGAGTATTTTACTTAATTATTTATGCTTACAATTGCTCGATTACATAAATAATCAATCAATTACACATATAGTTAACCAATTGAAATTGATTGATCACTAATTAACCATATGAATTTACAATTATTTAGATATTAGTGTGGTTCCGGATAAAAATAAACTCAGATTGTATATATATATATAAAAAAAGTAACAATTAAAATATGCAAAAATTATATCAAAATTGAAATATAAAAAATAAAATTATATCCTTATTTAATATTGATGAGAAGATAATTTTTGAAAGCATATATATATATATATATATATATATATGAATATAAAAAAAAATCTATTTGAAAAGTATGGTATTCTCACACGATTTTAAAAAAAAAACATTATTTCAATTGTTTTATTTACGAAAAAATAATTTTAAAAACTTTAAAAAAAAATGAATTGTAAATGTTCAACTATTTGTGTGTATATGCATAGTTCATTTATAATAAAAATTACTATAAAAATAATTTTAATAAATTTTGATCATATAAAAAAAGGAAATAAAACACATGGATTTTAACTTTTTTTCCTCATCGGCATGTATTTTTGTTTCTAAACCATACATGCTTGATTCTCATGCACACACCTCACACATACAACAATCACTTTCTCCTTCCTTTTTCTTTTGCTTCTTATTTTTTTATTGTTAATTATTGCATTTTAAATTGAATTTTTAAAAACTTAATAAAAATTTTCAGCAATGTACTTCTAGCCTTTAGATTAAACATATATCTTTAGAATCATAGTAGTCTCATTTAAAATTAATTATAAGAACCCATCATACAACTTATATTTATTTATTTATTAAATAAGAGAAAATAATCATGTTCAAAAAAAGTTATTCCATTATC